GTTTCTTGACGACCACAAGACATCGGATCCATCTTACATGACGACTTACTTGACAAGCAAAACGTACGATTGACTTGGGGGTCTATGACAGGTTTTACATCGAACCAACGGGAGCTCTAGATGGATCAAAAAATGTATAGCAGGCCACAATGTCAAACGCTTATGAGTGTGTCTCGTTTGGGACGTTATTCCACTTCCTAGACAAATGTAGCTTAACTAGAGAAGCAGAGTGATCGGTTTAGTTTGACATCAAGTTTTGTCCGGGATCAACAATAATGGACAATGTTGGCCTAGATGGCAGGTCCACATTATTGCTAGGTACTACTAGTGTGCCAATTATTCAGGAAACCAATAATATAAAAGAATGCCTCGTATTCGCCGACAGCATTTTACCAAATTTTGCGCTAACGTAACATCAAAAAATGGAGAAAAAACAATAATTTGAACTCATCTTTTTGTTGTTGTCCCAGTATCTATCTCATTGATAAAACTAATACATAGAACTATTCATAAGCCATATACCGATGTGACATAGAAAGGGAATAACATCTTCAAGGAAAACATTGATCTACATCAATTAGCGACTAAATATTTAAAAAGTCTATTTTGAGAACATATGTCGTGATAAGTGAAGCAGCAAATGCAATGGGAGTTGACGCTCGAACTGTTCAGTAAGACTAATAAGTAAATCATAATAATTAGATCCTCATTGAAAATTACTCTGACGGTAATCGATGAATGTTTTATTAGGCTTAAGTTTCTCGGAATTACATAGATGTGGTACGATGAGCCAAACACCAAAACAGAAACAAAGATCTTCATTTTCAGGAGTTTTTCAGGGAACTGTTAATATCATACAGGCTGTCCGAGAAATAACGCTAGTGCATTAAGAGGATTCCTTGATGAAACATTCAGTAGAAGATGGATTGGCTGGATAGGACCAATTTTGTGTCCCCCAGACTTTTTTACTGGGGATGTTTATGGAAAACCGGTTCGATCAACCGATGAACTGCGTCATCGAATCCGTCAATCACAACGAAGTCGGACTAGGTATTCGAATTCGTCGGTCAAGCGGCACGCAAAATATTCGATTTAAGTTTGAGAAGCTTAAAAGGGTAATTTTTAAGAAGATGCAGGTTGTGTGTAACAGTCGATTGTAGGCATTTTTAAAATCTGTTGTGAAAATAATAATAATCATAATAATAATCATTTATTATTTAGGCAATACATATTTACATTACAAGATGTTAATTTAATTTTCATTTAGTCAATTTGAGATGTTAATAATGAATGAGTATTATATATAAAAAGCACCGAAACTTTGTTTTTCGATATGTCAGAGACCCCTCCTCATTCACAGGAACCTTTCTGGAAGGATTAAACATTTGAGGTTGGGGATTGTAGGGAGTGCAGATGTTAAATCTGTAGTACCAATGAAATGTTTTGTATTATTAAGAGGCTTCTGATCCCGGCGTTACTAAGCACCATTAGATATAATATTGTCGCTTGTACATATTTCAAATACTTATCTGTAATAACCATCATTCAGTGTGGTTCCAATGCCTAGCTGAACAGCTTCCGGAGTAAATGCAGCCATAGAAATTAGCGAAACAAATGACTAAGGTACATTTCCGGGCCATCATTCAACCGGAAAGTGTACTGGTAGTACAAGCAGAAAAAACGTGTGTTTCGAAAGCATGCTTTTAGACAGAAACGCACACTGTTGACGAGGATTTAAAGGCGCCTGCTTCTGTAATCTGTATTTTTGTATCCGTGGGAGGATAGTAAGCTAAGAATACAGCACTTAAGCCCCATTGGGTCCCTCGAACGTACTTCTCAAGGCTGAGTCACCAGCCAAACCACACTAATTAAGGACGGAAGCATTCAAAAATTGCAGTGTTGGGGTTATTATTGGTAATAGAAAAATGCCAGTCAAATTAATTAGTTCCAGTATTCTCAATATACAATCTTCACTTCACTAGTTCTTTAAGACGCAATAAAAAGTTCTTTATCTACGATTGGACTGAAAACTGTTCTTCATGTACAGGCTTTTTGGACGTTATATCGAACCATTGATTAACGCATTCACCCTAAAGATAGCCAACCATATATACTCGTACTAATTATATTCCATCATCCAAAAGGGGATCTAAACGGTATTAGCGCTATCTATGATACTGTAGTAGAATTATTTAGAAGCCCACTTTGAAAAGAATATTTGGTGTGTTTGCTACTGTGTGATAGATGGCGCTGGATCGTCAATTAATTTAGTCGCCTCTCTAATGCCTATTTTAATTGGATATCGCCAGCTTCAACACGTTTAACAATTGCTGAAGATACTCACTTACAATAGGCAATCAAGAGGTTACTCGTATCTGTTTTTAAAGTAGATGTCTAAATGCACTTGTGTGTTCTAATACTGTCTTGTAGATGGCGCTAGTATCTTTCAGATCCTTTTTTCGACATCGGAATAGAGTACATGATGGTTGGCTATCTTCAAGTTCGAAGCGCTAATCAATGGTTGATCATAACATGACGACTATAAATAGTGTTCTCATTTGTCCGTTGCTGGGTATTGACGCAACTACCTGCTATACAATAGTGCTGTCAATTTATTTTTAATTCCACTTAAAAGCTCTACATTTTTTATCTTGTACTAAAATGTGTGTTAATCTGTTAGAAGGGGAGCATTCAGCATTTAATTTACATGTACCTTATGTTAGTCTGACGCGCGCATATATTTCTAATCATCAATTTTTTTAATATTCTGATTGGCCGCCCTAGACGTGGTGTACTCAATCTAGGCAAACGGTTTAATAAATTCAACTAAACGATTGCATTTTGATTTAATTAAACTAGTTTCATATATGCAAATGAACTGTTTTAGAAATCGAAGTTTAATTTAACTAATTAAATTTGTTACCTGTCACATGGTTAATTAAATTTTTTAATTGACTTCTTTAAGTTTCAATTAATTCGATTATTTTTTTCTCGGTGGATCTTATGTTAGTCTGAGGCGCACGAGTATTTCTAACCACCGATTTTTTCTTACCAATCTGATCGGCAGCCCTAGTCGTACCTCCCTGTATAAAGGACTTGGATGTACTCAATAGGATGCAAGGTATAGCTCCGTCTAAATATTGTGGACGTAATAAGCCTTATTGTCTCTGGATGGGTTCTGGATAGCGACGCTTCGCGCCTTGATATCTAATTCCACATCCAGAGCCATAACCGCCCTCTTTACGCCCTTCGTAAACAAGAATTATTGAAATAATGAGATATGAACACTTTCCAGGTAAAGTCTTTCTATAAGTCGCTTCAGCTGTATTTTTCCATAGATCAATAAATGCATGCCTTATTTCCTAATCAACTTCACTGCAAAATCATTTGTCATTTTAAAATATACGGTTAGTTAGGAAGCGGGCATAAATTAAGCATGATAATTCAATATATGTATATGAATGACATGCTCAAATAGCATTTCAACTTATTAGAGACCTTAATTCAATAAGTGGGAAAGATTCAGTTGCCTTCATTATTTATAACCTTTATTAGAGGACAGGTTGAGGAAATGTATACATATCAGAAGCTACACGTAACCATTACATACACTTACGAGAATATACAGCGACATAAACATGAGATACTGTAGCGAAGGCTTCACATTCCATAAAAAATGTATATAGATATGTGTCCGTAATTACTAACGTTGCTTGAGTGGTGTCAATTTAATATTCAGTATATCCCGTATTTAGAAGTGAGAAGACAAATTATAATAATAATTGTTCCAACAGCCGGACGGCATCCAAGGTACCTTTGGGCTTTGTTTTACAATGTCAGGGGGCTCTATAGCAGTAAGGATACTTCATATCATTGGGTACAAGGACACGCTGCGATATGCATAAGTGTTTCCAGAGTATGAGTAAAAATTTTACCTATAATATAATAGTAATAATTTATTTGACGACTTGAGTTCAATGTGTACGAGAGAGAGGTGTGTTAGAAAGATATCGAAATCAGCTGGACTACAATGCTGATACAGCAATCTGTTCCTTGAATTAGGATGTATGTTGAAAATATGCATTAGTTTATTCTCTACGCACAAATAATGGTTTTATCTTGAGCTTACACATTTTTGAATGTCGTCCTGGTTCGGAATGGCTTTCATCTACATACACGCTGGCAGTGATAATTTGCATTGCGTAACGTTATTTGTTACATTTTCCGAACGCAGCGCTGTATGTAACAATAACTCACGATGATGTGTCGATTTTATCACCATCGGTGGAAATCAAAGGTCATTCTAAAATAAATTAAAACTCCCAGTCGCATCAAAATTGAAACAAATAATCCTAATCAAAATGAAAACAAAACATTAAATTGAATGTTCGAACAGACCTCCTTCTGAGATGTGAGAGTAACCTAACCTAGTTAGAAGCCTGTGCGAACATTTTTTGGTGTAACATATTGGTAACGCGGCAGATTGCACGACCTTCTGCGTCACCGCTGCTAAGCAATGTGGTGATGACCTTCGCTGTTCAGCCGGCTTCTATATCTTGCTAGCGTGTGTTGATACATAGTTCCCGCGCTTCTCTCTCGTACACATTGTTACAGCTCCGTAGACCGTTTCCAGCATCCTCTTCTCCATGCCTGTTTATCTCAACGACTTCATAAGGTTAGACTACGCGTTCTAGGGGAATTGTTTGAAGCCGCGAAAAATAAACAAACAAGCCCTCACTGTATGTATACATATCTGCTATTGATAGTTAGGTAATTTTAGATACCTGATTTGAGGCTATTTTAGTTTGGGATTGCCTCTGTATGATGCAAAACACTTTATAATGGAATTTGATCACTCTCAATCATAATATTCCCGTATGTAATAGCTGTCCATACATAATTAATGCGTATTTCTCTGACTGTATCTCGTTTCAGTATCGCATCGATTTTTTTTGCTTAAACTGACTGGACTATGAAGCGTCTGACTCTATCAGCCCCATGTTTATTTGTTGACTGTGAACTCTTTGTTCCGTTGTGTTAAAGCAGCTAATATACAGTGAGTCGTGAGTGAAAAATTGGTAGAAATAGACAATAATTAAAGACAAGTGTGTGTAGTTTGTGGCAGACCATACTGGAAGTAATCCAACGTGAGTTTTCGTGTGTAAGTAATTAACGCATTTATAACCTCAAAATGCATGGTCGTCCCAACGACATCATATGAAGTCGTTGGGTTGTCCTTAGTCCTAGGTTTCTTAATAGCTTGATAAGAATAATTTCACTTGGAATATTTTGAATAATGATAATGGCTTAACGCATGGTTATGTATTTCTAGTTTTCCAACTCGTTCGTCGTGCTGCCAGTTACTGAAATGGATTTGGTTGGCTCAGATCATTGTGAGGATCAGAACCCGGATGTCGATATCAGTACAAGTAGCAATAGGATGTCTGAACCTGCAGAGATCATCATTGAATATGAGCACACCTTCACAAGTACCGATGCCAAAATTGGACATTCTACTCCTAAGCGGAAAAGGTTATGAATTGTTTATACATTAGAGTACCTATGTTTTGGAAAATCATTTTCAGATGGCAGGAACTGAATCTTCGTTTCTTCAGTTTTTAGCTAACACTCATTTGTAGTGCTTGGTTCACTAACAGTAATTTGTTTTTTTCTTGCAGGAATGAATCTATGAGTGCTGCAGTTAGAGATGGAGGGCTGAAGAGACTGACAAGTCCTCAATCAGACAACTGTGATGTCTTGTCAATATCTTCAACTACAGTGACAGCATCTGAATGCAATATAAGGTATTGCTGTTATTCATTCAAGTTCTGATGCACATTAAAGACCTTATATGTTGAATTCCAGCTACTTTGATAGTTCCCAGGTCATTGAATGAATGACAAAATTGTATTGTTAATAGTTTTGTTTCCATTTTACTGCTTTGTTGACCAAACAACACTATTCATGAGAAGTTAAAGCTTTATTTTATTCTTAACGAATTCCAGCTATACTGTTGTACTTAATTGAATTGATTATTTTGGCAACAAAATCCAATTCTTGGTCAATAACATGTTGTTTGCTTTCTACTGTCCCTAGTGACTAAATAATACTATTCATCAGTCGAATGGATTAGTTTACTGCAACTGTATACATTCATTTTGACATATATTTTTGTTTATAGTAACAACTCTGACACTGTTTTGGCAAGAAATGATAGTTCAATTACTCTGTCGGCCAGCTCATTGTCAGCAACAGTTACTGCAAGCTCTGATGATGAACCTAGAGAACTACCAAGCATCTCGGGGAAAATGACTAGGCATAGGCAAATAATGCAGCAAAGGTGAGTTCAAGTTTTCAAAATTGATAATGATGAGCACACAAAGTAATATCTATTATTTCAGATCCAAAATGCATAAGCATGTATGGAACATTTCTGGCAAAACTGTAGGTAGCGCAGAAAAAACAATAGCGTCTCTGAAAAAGAAAATTAAAAATCTTCAGCAGCAAAATCGCAGACTGAAGTCTAAAGTATATTCCCAGCAATCATTAATGGAGTATTTGAGGGAGACATGTGGTTTGACGCCAAATGCAGGACTAGTTTTGAATGTAGGTATCAGTTGCATGCTGCTACACACTTCAATTAGCCTAGAACTTATTGTTTCCATTTTAGTTTAACATGTTTACAATACTGAAAAAGATTTATGTTTTTTTTTTGGTTTTATGCAAAGTTTCAATAATATTCTACTTTGTAACATGATTATTCCATGAATATATATTTGTTTTCAGGCATCAGTGGATGATGGCACAAAGGAAATTCTGAAACGATTTATCAAGGGGAAGTCAAAACAAAAATATAATGCTTCTCTCAGAGCTTTTGCATTAACTTTGCATTTTTATAGCTCAAAAGCTTACGATTTTGTGAGAGAGCAATTCAATAAAAGTCTACCACACCCCCATACTCTAATAAAATGGTACCAACGGATAAATGGTGCACCTGGCTTCAGCATGGAGGCAAAAAACAACTTACTGTGTAAAGTACAAACGGAACAGAAGCATGGCCGTAAAGTTTTGTGCAATCTGGTCATGGATTCAATGGCAATTAGGCGGCGAATAGAATGGAATGGCCAAAAGTGGACAGGATACATTGACTTGGGTTTTGATATGGATGGAGATAAACTTCCTGAGGTTAAAGAAGCATTGGTTATGATGCTAGTGGCTATAAATGGCAAATGGAAGCTACCTGTAGGATACTTCTTCATCAATGGTCTAAGTGGAGAGGAACAGGCAAACTTAGTATCAAATCTTCTTACTTTTATTCACGATACAGGTGTTATCATTTGTTCAGTAACATTTGATGGGGCCTCTCAAAATATTTCGATGATAAAACACTTGGGAGCTGATCTGAAAATTGTAAACTTAAAAACCTGGTTCCCACATCCAGTTGATTCGCACAGGGTGTACGTTTATCTCGATCCATGTCACATGCTAAAATTAATCAGGAACTGCTTAGCAACTTATAAAAATTTCAAGACAGATCAAAATGAGTTAGTTTCTTGGGAATACTTTGAAAAGTTGGTAAACATTCAAAACAATGAAGGCTTAAGAGCTGCTACCAAAATTAAAGAAAGACATGTGAAATGGGAAAATGAAAAAATGAAGGTATGCCTAGCAGCACAAACATTCAGTAAAAGTGTTGCTGATGCACTGAGGTTTCTGGAAACAGATTTAGGTTTGAAAGAATTTGAAGGTGCTTCAGCAACTGCCAACTTTGCTGAAATGATAAATAATATTTTTGACATTTTTAATAGTAATTCGAGATACTCAAAATACGAATTCAAACAAGGCTTAGATGTCAATAATGCTCAGCAGATATTTGTATATTTGGAACAGTGCAAGACATACTTTGAAGGTCTTAAGACAGAAACAACCCCAGTACTTCAATGCAGAAGGAAAACGGGTTTCCTGGGATTTTTGATTTGTATGGCTAGTTTACAGCAATTTTATCTAGAATATGTCATTGAATTCAAATACTTGAATTACATATTGACATACAAGCTGTCCCAAGACCATATTGAGCTATTTTTTAGCGCAGTGCGTAGTAAGGGAGGATGTAATAATAATCCAACTGCTCGACAATTTGAAAGTATTTTCAAGAGATTACTTTTGCATTGTGACATTAAGGGCTCCAAGTATGGAAATGTTGTTTCACTGGACAACACTAGTATTCTAGGCACTACATATATCAACACTTTGACTAAAACTAATTGTGGCAACATTCTTTCAGAGAATGATGATTATATGGAGAATACTACAGAAGTTTTAATATTTGGTAGTTGTTCATTACATCTGTGGCAGCTAACTCCGTATGTCTGTGATATTGTCGCATACATATCTGGCTTTGTGGTGAAAAATTTGAAAAAGTGTGTATCTTGTCATGAATGCCTGCTGCTAATGGAATCCAGTGAAACACGTTCTTTGTTGCAAAAAAGGAAGCAATGTGGCAACTTAACACGAGCTTCTAATTATGTTATAAAAGTCTGTGAAGAAGGGGAGAGGTCTGTAAGGTCCTTGAAAGCCATTTCCAGCATATTTAGCAATAAACTTGGAAACATCGAAAAATACTTAGTAAGCTATACACTAAGGAAGTTAAATACATCAATATTTGAAGTATTTGGTGACCATGTTCTAGATGATAGCTTCGAAAACAATCATTCACTGCAGCTGACAAAGATGATTTTGGCTAAATACATAAGGCTAAGGTTACACCACGAGTCAAATTTAGCATCAGAATTTGGTAGACGATACAGAAGTGACCTCACAAAAAGCATACTATTCAGAAATCAGTAAAACTTTGATATGATTTTTCTCTACATTTTGTTATTTTCATCTCTGACCTTTCAACCTGTTAGAACGCCTCAGCTGAGTTTACGTGATTCAGATCATTCGAGATGATCAAAATAAATTAAAGAAGTCAATGATTTGTGTTTCTTGTGAGATGAATGGGACTTGAAGCCAACTTTTCTCCCATTCTTTTTTTGGGGGGGGGGGGCACCATCACCGATACCTTTTTTCTATGGGACATCATCATCATAAAACCTTCCACTTTGAGGGGCACCAACATTACTTTTTGGTGAGGGGAACCAACATCGCCTTTTTGAGTGCTATGATCATTACACCATCATTGCACTTGTACATGGGGCACAGTCATCACATCATTTCACCACCAGCGCATGGGACCATCCCTGTTTTAAACTCAGATTTGTCCACTCTTTGCGAGAGTAGATCAAAAGATAAATCATTCTTTTCATGTGATTCTTACCTCAATTTTTGCTTATTGTTTGGGGTTTTTTCTAATATTGTTTGAATTTTACAACCTTGTTTTATTTGTCCTCATGCTGCTATCGTTCTTTACAATTACAACATCAACTCTACCCTGATCTCTCATATCCTACTACTGAGCAACCAAGAGCTATAAGTATGAGCTTACATATGGCATGCTGCCTCATCTTTTTCTTGGGGTATGTGTGAGGTTATAATGTGACTGCGTTCAAGAGTAAATTTTGTCTTTTTATTCTTTTGAAATTTTGTACGCGCCTCTTATACTGTTTAATATAGATTTAATATGTTTGGATAAAGTAGCTACATAGGGGTAAATTATTTATTGTATTGTGTATATCATATTTCTATTAAAGACGTTTTATTATTATTATAATAACTGAATTAAAATATTTCAAACATTTGTTGTTTAATTATCCCATTACCTGTATCCACTGTTACTGTTTTATAAAAATTATAATAAACCTACAGAAACCCAAATCCTCTTAAATACACTGCATCAGAATATGTTCTTTTGGGACTAGCTTGAGATGCTACCAAATATAACTGAATGTACCCAATAATTTAGAGTGACTGCACACTGCCAACTTTTTAGTTTCGGTGGAAACATTGCATTCCTTGCAAGGGAACATTTTATTTTATGGCATGCTGGCTCTAAACTTTGGATATTGTTCATGAACATTGTCTATTTAAACAACTCGTTCTTAGTTGTGAACTCGTTCAAGTCAATATCGGGATAATGATTACATATTGTACAACTTGCAAATTTTTCTCGCTTGAAATCGTGAAAATCCGAAACACGGATATTTTGGGTACATTGAAGTGCAATGAGATTCTGTATGAATGAATTGGTAACCTACTTAAACAAAATATTGATACGCCTATGGAAAATGAATGTCAATCGTCGAACGTTTGTTTACAAAACAGTCTTCACCTGTCCCCTTGCACCCCTGAAGCGGTTACAAACAATGACACGTATACATGCGTAGTCTAACCTTATGAAGTCGTTGGTTTATCTTTCCAAACGACAACTTCTATCCAGACCTTTTCTCTGCATATCTCGTCTGACTTGCTTTTCCCATTCCTTTCTAAGCCTACCTCTTTTCCTTCTGAAAGGAGGTTTCCAGTTCAAGATATCTTTCGGCTACCGACTATCAGCCGCCATCCTTACCACCTTAATCTACGTCTCTCAATTCAATCATTTTTGAAATAAATACCCTTGTTTCAATATGCTCCTATTTATTTATACTGTAGTCAACCCAAAAAGTTGAATAAAGGTCTAAAACTGATATGAAAATCAGTACTTGGAAGTCATTCGGATCACTGACGGATGCTGCTTTCAATATTATAGCACAGGCCTGCAAAACTTTTATTTGTCCTTTATAATCGCTATGCTTTCTTTTTAATACCTATATATGTGGAACTAAAATACAACTTTGTTTCTTTCCTAGTACGTGGATATTTATTTATATTGAAGGCATGAACTTTTTAACAATTTTCATAAGAAAAGAAAATTTGGATCTAATTTTTTTCTATGAGACCGTCAACGGCATTAAAAATGATTATTTTTATATTTCCTTCAAAATTACTATTCAATCTGTTTTTCGTATGTTATCTCTACGGTTCAGGTCTCCTCAACATCCAACGGTAGATTGATGTCATGTTCGTGTCCCAGCTTCCTTGGTATCTGCTCTCCATATCCCTTTACCCTAACTGGACAAATACCAATCTCAGAGTATCTAATGTGCAGAATCTGAATGCGCAATCCAAATCCCTCAATTACCTCTAGTCTCGGAGATATCCTAACATAAAGGTGCAAAATACCGGTTTTTGCCTTTATTTGAAGTTATGTAGCGTGGCAAAAAACCACTCATCTTCTCAAAGTCAAAGCATTTTTATAATATACAGGTAGTCGGCTCAGCTTTTATCAGAACAAAGTAGTTTTTTTTTTAAAGAAAAAATGCGCAGTTGAAAGTAAAACGTTAAACTCAGACTTGATAAGGTAGGGTAGATTGTAGACTTGTGGTTAGGGTATGGCTTAGATATTTTATGGATTTAGTGTTGAGGATAAATAGGCTTTTAGTTGGCAGGTCTTATTTCATTATCTTCCCCAACAAAAAACTTAATGATGATAGATCTCTCGAGTAATAAGAATTCCGGACGTAAACACACTCCACTCTCGGAATGTCCGGGTGGACGGTGTACTCGAGGGAACAACATCTTTGATAAAATTTGTTTCACGAACATCTGCGGGATTAACAGCAACATTGATGCTGTTCATCACTACCTGCAATCTAATCGTCCTGCCATGCTTTTCTTGGCGAAAACAAAATGCTCAGGGTGTGCACCGATTAATCATCTTAGCTTTCCAAATCACGAGGTGCACACCAATCTGAAAAAGTACGGGGGAGCTGTGGCTTTTGTCCTCAGCAGTCTTTCCTGCTCCAGAGACGTTTCTTTGGAATCAGACCGGAAGGACATTCTGTGGCTTCGTCTCAACTCCAAAACATCCCCCAAATTTATTTGCTGCCTTTATTGGTCACCCTCGGACAATAACTGGGGTGACTTACTTGGATACCTCGCTATCAAGATCGACTTCCTGATCATCAATCACCCCGCTTCGAAGGTAGTTCTCGGTGATTCCAATGCCCATAATGAGCTTTGGTTGGGCTCAAACAAGACCGATGCAGCAGTTGCAGTCGTTCGCTATTAGCCAAAGACTGAGCCAGCTAGTGACAAGCCCTACTCTTCCCCGCATTTCGTCACACAGGAATAGCCTACTGGATCTCTTTCTGACCACACATCCTGTCCCTTACAGCACTGCTGTCTTGTCTCCCCTAGGTAACACAGACCACGGTATTGAAGAGGTTAGGTTTCGGTTAAAATTCGTTGTGGCAGCAGAAACTCGCCCAGGCCACAAAATTTGACATTACGGGCATGCCGACTGGGAGAGGCTCAGGGTCTTCTTCTCCACCTTTCCTGGAGAGGTGGTTGCTTCGCTGACGCGGATGCGTCGACTGTCTGTTCATCGATAACAGAAACTATCCACGTTAGGACGGTGTAATACATACCTCATACAGTGAAAGTACCTAAACTACGGCCCAACAAATCGTGCGACAGTGCTCGTCAGCAGAAGATCAAGGCGCACAGAAAGTTCTTACAAAACCCCACTATCTAGAACAGGAACTCCGAAGTCGAGTCTAGAGCCAAATATAACGAAGCGGTCCGCAATGCCAAAGACCAGCACCATATAAAAGTTAGGCACAGGGTAATGTTGCACCGCAATAGCAGTCGGTCTGTCTAGCCGCTGGCCAAGCAGATTGAAAGGAACTTCTCACACAGTAGCCTTCCACCACCTACGTGTCAGGATGAAATGATTGTAACCGACTCAAAGGCTAAGGCGGAAGTGCTTGCCAAGATTTTTACTGCCAACTCTACCATGGACGTTTGCGTCTCTTCCAGATATCTTACGAATCCCTGCACCTTCCCAGAAAACTGGAAATTTCCTCATCGCGCCCCAAGAAAGGGATCTAAGACCGACCCTTACAACTACAGGCGTATAACTCTGCACGGTGCCCTTTTAAGCAAACTTCCATCCATTGACCTCCCAGAGAAGCTTTGCAGATGGGCAGCCGACTGACTCTCTGGCCGCAAGATATGCGACGTAACTGACGGGTTCTCATGTTCATCTCACAGCGTCAACGCAGGTGTTCCCTAATGATCGGTCTTGGCTCCGACACTGTTCCTCTTCATGTACAATCCACAGCTTCGCTGATAACAGCACTCTGCATGCAGGAATTCAGAGCGACAAGCCGATCTCTGAGCTGGAAAAGAGAAGACTAGCAGCGACTTCCTCTATGACGAGAGAACTGGAGGTTATTACTGCTTGGGGACGCACTAATCTTATACAGTTTAATGCTTCCATAACACAGTACTGTACCTTGAGGAACAGAAAGCGTCCTAACGCTCATCCGGTTTCGATGGATGGCCTAGTCCAAAGAACAGTTCATTTTGGCTGGTCGGACCCCAGATCACCGAGGGATAAAGATATTTGTTTAGGACTTTTCTCCGCATGACCTCCTCACTCTATACAAGGCTCTCCTTTATCCCGAGGGAGTCGAGATTGTGTAACAATCTACATGAGAATGCTTCTCCCAGTTCTACTAACCTTAGGCAGTTTAAAGGTCGGATTTACAAAATTTCTTTGGGATCCCTGTAGCAACGACGGCTTCTGACTGCACAGCTGCTTCGGTGTAAAAAAATCATAAGAATACATTAACTCCTTATAAAATGTTTGTTATTTCATAATCCAAACCACAAGTTTGATGCACATGTAATCATAACTGGTATAGTGTCAAATATAGTGGCATTCGTAAAAATTAAAATCGCTATTTTTGCACATTTAAGTTAGGATATCTTGAAAACTAGAGCCAATTGAGATATTTGGACCACGGATTCGGATACAGCACGACCGAAACCTCCAGGAAAGTATACTAGAATTTTTTCGTAAAAATCTTGTCGGCCTGTGATATCTTTAAATGGAATGATAATATTGTAGGGGGAACTGTCTGCCCAAGTGCCCACTACACTTTCAGACACTACCTACATGAGATGAGGTGACTGAAGAATCCACCTGTAAGTTGTTGGGTGACAGAGCAGTCTTTGGTGCACACTTGTATCTTCGCGTTGTTTGAAACGTTCTATTATGGAAATTATGATGGTCCAAAATTTCTATAAAAACTGCAATACGTCACCACTCACAAAGCCTGATTCAATATACGACCGCCTATAGGATACCGCCCGCTTACTTTAATAGATGATAATACAGGCTAAACGTGTATCACATTTCATACGCCAACACTTACAATTTACAATATCTAGGTTACGAACAATAACGCCATTTATATCCATCTACAATTTTACTTTTTTCTACTTGCTATTTTCTTGTCGTCGTCGGTCGTCGTTTCCATTTATGTTTTCCACATTCTCCATGATTCACTCACCTTTTATAATAATGAATGAGCCATCCTCACAATACAAAAGACCTACTTACTATGTGTGGGGTAGAAAAGAGCAAGTTCATTGACAGGGCGATGTAGCACCCAAACAACAATCAGTGGGGTGCAGAGGGTGGTTTGATAGATAGTAAGCGGGTATTAGGAACCGGAAGTTAAGGGAGCTTCGGTCTCTTTATAAACATATGGCCTATTTAGACTTATTTATAAGAACTGAGTGTTTCCACATTTTATATTAGGTCAAGCGTATTTATGCATATCCATTTTGAATATTCATATAACTACTATCAAAAATCATATATTTGTACATTTCAGAAAAATATAAATGTCTCGCCATGCAGATTTCTGGAAATGGAAAAAGAAATAATGTGAAGTTGTACAGTCTATAAGAAAACGGTTTAGATTCATAACAGCTTTGAGATTGTTACACAAATTAAGAAAATATTGGAGATACGAATATATCCTGCATTGGTCTGTGTGCAAACAATACGAAGCTTCACAACCACCAAAGGATAATGACCCGCAACTTTTTGTTCGCCTAACAAACGAAACAATTTTTCTAAAATCGTCAAATGGCGCATTATTCTTAGGATATGCCAAAAAATTACCCTCCGACATTTTGCCGATGTTGTAGAAACAACTTGTATTTTTTAATGCAATTTGGGTAAAACATTTTTTCAATAGTTTTGAAATGACTCCAAAAGTAGAACGTCTTCCAAGAACTCAAGCAAAGCAGACGTATCTGCAACTATTTTTGAGTCGAACCTAACACCAGCTGCTTGCTATAGGGACATGTAGCATGTAAACATTTCTTTATCGGTTATATACCGATTTGAAATCAAACTATAGCATTGCGGGGTTTTTTTCGCGTAATATTTATTGATAATAATTAAACGTCATATAATATGATTGAAAACAGCCATCAATCTGCTTTTCTTGTTGTTTTATAACTGCATTTGTTTCAGTCAATTCATCTTTTATGCAAGACATGTCACACATCTTTTAGTTAGTATTAGCTAAAGAATATTAATTTCCAGGACAAGATGTGGCGGGTGGCACCTCTTGCACTCTTGCTTCTGATCATTCCAAGGACATTATCTCTGGGAAGACTGACTGACTGTTCAAAAACGGAATATGAAAAATGCATTCGTATGGCAGATCCATTGGTTAGAGAAGCCCATTTGGTATTTCCTGATAATATCAATGACATAGACCAGGTACTCTTTTATCTCTTATACGAGGTTTGTTCAAAAAATATCGCAAATTTCATGTTTTTTCAAGAATTATTTATTTATTCATGAATATCTAATTTGCTGCTTTCAAAGTAATCTCCATCAGACATTATAGACTTGTGATAACGTTTTTTCCAATCCTCGAAGCATTTTGAAAAATCCTCCTTCGATGCCGTCTTGATCTCCTGAATCGTGGCGTAGCGTCGTCCTTTGATGAGCCTCTTCAGTTTCGGTAACAATAAAAAGTCATAGGGGTCAGTTCTGAGGATTACGGTGGGTGAGGCATTATTGGAGTGTTGTTTTTGGCCACTACAGGGGCGTTATCATGATGCAAAAGCCTATTTTAGTTCTTCCACAAATCAGGGCGTTTCTGGCGTATTGCTTCTCGCATTACTTAAAGGTAATATTCCTTATTGACCGTTCTACCCTGCGGCAAGAACTGATCAATGTTGTCGTATGTTGTGGACGTACTCGAGCGTCCGGAACGCTTTTCGTCGCTTACATCTTCTCGGCCCTTTGAGAACATTTTGTACCACCGATAAACGTTGCTTTTGTCCAAAGTAGCTTCGCCGTATGTAACAGTCAACATTTGGAAAATATCCGCGCACTTCAAGTTGTTTTTACACAAAATTTAATACAAATTCTTTGATCCATTTTTTGGAATAGACAAAAATCGGAGACAAGCTAAAACAGGTCCACGCACAATTGCTGTCAAAAACTGACTGAACATTCAAAATGGCCGATATTGTCAACATTAGGGAGGGTCATAAGTACCACACAAAAAGATCGAAAATCTAACATACGTAGCCCGCGAAAAATCAAAATTTGCGATACTTTTTGAACAAACCTCGTATTACCTTGGTCACCTGACATATTTTTATGATTTTTGAATGATGATAAGCAGCTTTTGCACATACATATGTATAGTAATATTGATTGAATGCACTTACTTGAACATAAAATCAGTAAATAATAATAGAAAAGAGATAAAATCAAATCATACAATGTAAAGATATGGTTGTATTTAGCGTATACTATACTAAGTGACATATAAATCCGAACACCCAATTTAAATGGTTTTATTTTAATAAAAGTTGGTGAATGTATTTATCTTACTGTAAATAACAAGTGAAAAAATTTTCAGCCTTATCAGTTGGACATTCTGGTTTTTATACTACTTTTTTTTAATTCACTAACGCTCTAAAAATGAATATTTCAGCCACAGTAATGAATCAACGTTGGCGGATTTTGGTTCTTGACATCCCTTACGATCGGTTACGATGCCTAGAGTACGGAGACCTGTACGATTTCGTCAACTTAGTTAGTTTGATAGTGGCCGTATAGTGGGACTTCGGGAAGCTGGACTTTCTTTTCGGGCAATTGCAGTTAGAGTGCAAAGAAGTGTAGACGCTGTGGTTAGGTGTTGTCAGGCATGGCTTCGAGAAGGCCGTACGCAAAGAGCAAGGGGCACTGGACGCCGCCGTAGAACAACAGACCGTGAAGATCGCCGCCTAAGATTATTGGCCCTAAGGGACCGTTTCTCCACTACCAGGTCCATTGCAAATGAATGGTTTGCAGAACACGGAAGACCTATTGGCATGCGAAGTGTTTACCGACGAATGAGAAGTTTTGGCTTGTTTTCATACCGGCCACACTGGGTCCTCCCTTTAACTCGAGAACACCGACGTAATCGCCTTGAGTGGTGCAGACAACGGTCACTCTGGGATCAGGAATGGAACAGTATTGTCTTTAGTGACGAGTCTCGATTTTGTTTAGGCATGCACGATGGTCGTGCCAGGGTTAGAAGGCGACCTGGTGAAAGGAGGAATCCACAGTTTTTTGTTGTTCATCACAATGTTGAAGTTATGGTTTGGGGTGCTATAGTTTATGGTTCCAGGTCACCTTTAATCTTCATCAGAGGTAACATGAACGCGCAGCGTTATATCCACGAAGTTCTAGAACCCCATCTTTTACCTTATCTTGACACCCTGGCAGATCCAACTTTCCAACAAGATAATGCCCGACCACATGTTGCAAGAGTCACAATAGACTTCTTTCAACATAATGATGTCACATTGTTACCATGGCCACCAAGATCTCCCGACTTATCCCCAATTGAGCACGTGTGGGATATGATGGGTTGGAGATTGCTCAATTTGCAACGTCCTCCTCTAGAAGCACTTCGAGAGGAGTTGGTGGTTGCCTGGAATGAGATACCACAGGAGGACATTGACCACCTGATCAGAAGCATGCCTAGGCGCGTTGGAGAATGCGTAGCACATCAGGGTGCATCCACACATAATTAAATGTCAAAGGGCTTTAAAGCAGTGCAATTATTTTGAAATTTTTATCATTTACTTATTACGCATACAAAATTTTATTAAAATAAAACCATTTAAACTGGGTGTTCGGATTTATATGTCACTTAGTATATTTGAGATTATTCCGTGAACTGATTCTCCCTAGTGTGTTTGTCCATTTTTTCAAATCTGTATTTTTCATAAGCGTTTTAAGTTGCTTGGCAAATGTTCATGATATTTGGGAACTAAATATGGGTGAGATCGTTTGATTATAGGTTTGTTTCGTTATGGAACATTTCTTGCACGTAATTTATACCGTGTGTTATGACAATTATTTCCATTATTTACAAATGCCATAGATATTACAGATCCATTCTATTTTTTCGTATATTTTGCAGGTTTGCACAACATGGAATCAGTTCGTGGACTGTTTAAAAGTCTACACTGATGAATGTTTCACAGCTCAGCAGAAAAAGCAGTTCAACAGAGCTGTTGAAAGCCCCATAGCGAGTGTACACCAGATGTGCACTCAACCCAGCTATCAAAAAGGTAAACATCTCATCACTTTGTTTTTAGTTTTCCTACTTTAGGTCACGGTAATGCTGTAGCCAAAGATACTTATTTATCAGCTAAAGGGACTAGAAACTGAACAATGTTACTCAAACATGAGAATATTGATTCGTTTGAACATATAGAATAATAGATTGAAAGATTTAGGAAAGATGGAGAAGTATCAGATTGAAAAGTAATATATCCTGTTCCGTTGAGTCATTTATTTTAACAGCTTGTAGAACTCGTCAAATGAAGTTGATATACCAAAAAACACCTATATAAAAGATGTTCATGACCTTCTCGTCTAAAATGTGGTGGAGCCCCATCATGTAGGAACCACATTTAGAGAAACATCTTCTAATAATTGTGGCAGATTGTGTCGAAGAAAATCTAAATGAACTTCACCGGTCAGTCGAGTAGTAGTAGAGCAGCGTGCGGATTTTCTACTGCCCAAACATGAATGTTGAAATTAATTTCGTAAAATCTTCATTTATGGCGAACTGTTCTAAAAGCCACTAGCAAAATACAACGCTTCTAGCATGATCTTCAAGTTGTAGCGCTTGTACCTGTTGATAACGAGGATAATACTGTTCTTGTCGTATTGTCTTCCACATTTTATTATGGGAAACTTCATATTGAGCTGATATGGCTCTAGTGCTCATTGTTGGGTCGTCTTCGACCATTTCTAAATGTCTTCCTCAATTTGTAACATTTTAGGTTGAGCAGGTCTTCCAGCGTGACCTCTTCGTTGTTCTTTTAAGTATCCTGTGTCAGGAAGTCTAGTAACTAAACTTACAAACATCCGTGGGGCCGGATAATTTCTTAAAGGAAACCTTTCCGCATACAACCTGCATGCTATGACTGCATTTTGTTGGCACTCTCCGTATGCTAGTATTATGTCCACTAGTTCATTGTTTTCGTAAACATGGGGCGTTTTTTCGCACAAAATAATCAGACAAATGAAAGTATTAGGATTTTACAAGGTAGTGGTCGATAACAACAAAAAATATGTGTAGTAATATTCTTATTTTTTTTTAATTTTCAATCTTGTACTATTTCTTTTATTATGCAACTTTTATATAGGCGATTTTTGGTATATCAAGTCCTTTCGACGAGTGTTACAAGCAGTTAAAATAAGTAACTCGACTCTGAAAACACCCTGTACAGTATCCATATAATTTCCATGGATTTTTCATGACTCGGAGCCCAATTTTCAAAGCTATTGTTGAAAACTTCATTTGTTGAATAATAAACTTGTCTAATTTTGCTGCTAATGTATAAAATCAGAACTACTTATTCTTCATAATCTGCTACCAAACACTATCTGTAAAAGTACTGAGCTATAATGATTGAGACAATTATAGATTTTATTTTTTATTCGACAGTGACATCGACTTCGATGGTTATTACCCGAAATGGACAAAAATTATTTTCCAGTATAACATTAACACTAGATAATGAAGTAGATAAGGATAATCCAATACTTAATTAATTATTCAATAATAAACGTGTCATTATTATGTTATCAACATTGTGTTAAGGGACAACTAGGGATGCTACTGAATTCCTACTCTTAATCATGAGAATATTAATTTATTTGAGGATACAAAAAAATACAATGAATTAATGACACAATGATACAGGGTGGATAGGAGAGGAAAATAAAATTAAGCTTGTTTCGGAAAAGGTGCAGTATAATTGCCATTGACGCTTCTAGACACCTTTGTTACATAAGTAACTATAATATGTAATGCTGAACTATATCAGGATATATTGTTGATCGAATATTTTTTTTCTTCACTTTATAGAATACCTGTTGTATGCGCCTTGCATCAAAAGTACGATCGTCGAAAGAACGCACTGTGGACCAGAATACAACCTTCTGGTCGAACAGGTAGATCAAGGAGATATTATATCAAAATCAACTCTATGCTGGTAAGATCATTCGGATAGGAGGATGTATGTGCAACAATGGGTTAAAATATTGTTTCAGTTCTCATGACCGATTCAAACAATGTGTTGAACGAGAAACAAGAAGGTTGTGTGATAGAGGAATCTCAGGAGGTCCAGCTAACAGGTTTGCGACACAAATAATCGACAAGGCCCTAAGGTTTTTGCAAGATCAATGCTTGAATTACATGTGAGTACGATCCATTTTTTGACCGCGACTTTTACGTTTCTCTATTTCGTCGCCTTTGTCATATTTAATGAGGACTTGTGGTTTCGCGCCTTTTTACTTCCCACGGCTACTGCCGTAGGGGCAAGAGAACGTCGGTTCGTGGTTCTAGGGTGGCGAAGGGTATATCTAATTTTTTCTTTGACAGCAATATATTTATAGACTTCCAACTCAGCTAGCTTTACGCACCTGCACCATATTTCACACATCATAAATTTGCCCTTCGCGGCCGGCGGGACGATGGCAATCATCATGTGCCGGACTCCGTATGCGCCTGACTACATCGCCGGGGTTCTCGATATCGTTATAGTATTGTAGCCGGCGCTTGTGACATTGTTAACTGGTGTGGTTTAGCACCATTGCCAGATGATCGATACTTAGGGCAGATGAGAAACCAATGTCAGCGTTATCAAATCAGTGGGAACTAAGGGAGCATGAATTAATTGTATGGGTCTGTTTGGCTGACTTGATCCATTTAATGTTTTTCTTATACATATTTGTAGCTAGCTCATGAACTGATGATATGGTCTGTGGGAAGTGTGTCAACCTACTTGACGCCATTTTATTTTCCAGACCAAACTCAGGTGACTGCCAGCCCCATCCAACAGACTACGCGCTGTCGTTCTCGCGAAGTACCGACTCAGTGTCTTCCAGTGACATATATCCTTGGAGCACTTCTAGATTGGAACCAAAGGAGATGGTACCTCCTTTTAGAGCCACGCCTCCTAGACTGTCTACGCCTTATTGGGGCAGCACCAGTACCACTCAAGAGGATCCGCCAGCCGATCAGTTGCGGTTCGAACATTTCAGCAACGAACAAGTTCGGTTAGTAGTATGAAAAAATATCTTACGGGGTGGAGCATGGAAGGGCCTTATAACTTAGAATTAACGTTCTGATCGAAATATCTGGTTATGTTACTTAACTACATAAGGTCTTTCATTAAGATTAAACATTCAATACTTACTGTAATATATCCTCATGAAGAATACTCAACGAACATTATCGTAAAATAGAGTTTATTCATGAAAATCTCTTAAAAATAATTGGTATGACTATTGTATCGATATCAAATAAGTTTCCAATAACATTTATGAATAAATGAAAATAATTAAACTTACCAAAATGGCCTTCTTATGGATCCATCCCGCATAAGACCAAAATGTTTCAGATGGCGTTAGAAATCAGTAAATATTTATGTGATACAATTGGAAAAACCAGCCTTTCCCTACAAGTAAAAACTAATTATGAATTTATATTTTCGTGATTGATTAGATATGTTCCTAATAAGGTTCCTGTGCAATAGTAAAGTCATATGTCATATGTCAATTTCTTGATCAGGCCTACAAGGAACCATTGACTTTCCTAGGAACATTGCTCATATTTTAACTAAAATGGAAATAAAGTATGTAGTAATTTTTTTTCTCTAGTATTGAAGCAAATGCTCATACATCAATTCAGACTAAAAAAATTTAAAGAAAATAATACTTTATTTAGTTGAAAACGTACGATTTCTGTAAGCTCGGATTACATTTTCAACGTCGACGACTAAAGTCAACAAAGCCAGGGATCGCAATGGATCGCATCGACAAAATAACGATGCGAGCGACTCGCCATCGCTTCTGTGATCTTGAGTTCGATGGGTGTCAGTGAGTAGCAGGAATTTGTCATCTCATTGCAATAATTAAGACAAATTAATAATCGGCCTTATAAGGAGTATAGTCTTCCAAGGTCGACCCAACTTGGTATTAGAATCGAGTTTATTACGCAAATGCATATGAATCTTTGAAAAAACAGCAATCATTAGCAAAATATTTGCTTATAGGTCAGGACCAGAAGAATCAACACCACTTCTAGGCTCTAGATCGAGACCGGCATCTTATGGAAGAGCAAATAGTTGGGATGACAATCCATCCACATTAGGAAATACTCAACCATTAACTACTCCAAGCAGTACCCCTACAAAATCAGACTGGGCAGGTGGAAGCACCTGGGCTGGAATTAGGGATTTTGTCAGAACAACAGGTAATCGTTCATGGTATAGATCTAGAACAGATTGTATGTGAAGGACCAAGGATATTAAAAATGTCGACGTCCCAAAGGGTATAATGTCTGAAGTTGTCAATACCTGCAACTTCGCCTCCGGCTTCTCCCACATTCGGCCAAAACTACCCCTTCGGCACTCGGCCAAAAAAGGATGGGGGTTTGACCGAAGATTGAACGTTTCAAAAAATCTGTTTATATTTTACTATGTGTTGTTGGTATATTACTATTTTTTGTCATTGAATACCTATATTGCTAGTTTTCGCCAAAATTTCACGTTATAATTATCGTCGAAATCCACCTCATCTATTTAGCTTCTCCCGTTGTCATAAACTAGAAAGTTAGATACGTCAGTTTGTTCCAAAAACTGTCTTTATCGAGGGCGGTTTTAGGAATCAGTCTAAGGCAACGAATGCGAATAGAATAGGAGCCAAACCTACATATGTTCACATGCTTTGTTTGTTGCTAAAATTGCGTAGTTTTAGTGCATTCTTTCGGCTCATGTGAATACCATTGCCTACCAAAATGATATCGTTGAATCAACATAATAATAGTACTTACCGGTGGTAGGATATACCTTTATTGGGCTTGTACAGCTCTTTGCAAATTATGTAAGAAGTACCATGTCCTGAAACCGTGTAACACTGCAATTATCTGCAAACACTTGGACTTACCAAAAATCACACTAAAAATACGAATATAATGACAGAACTGTCAAAAAATGAACTTTTGTCAAGTCCACTAGTAGTATGCACTTTTATTCTAGTCTAAGGTGAATTTGAGCTATAACATCTTCTATGTGCTCATTTCTGATACATGGTAATATAAAACGTACCGATAATTTAATTGACTAACTAAGGTTACATCTCACAAGAAACCGAACTAAGAGTAGAAATGTTTATTAATCGGGTTAAAAGTAGAAAATAAGATTGACCTTCCGTTGAACTGTATAGTTGTCATTCAACTGAATTCCGTTTCTTCTATAACTTTTTTATGTTTTGACTACATTTACTGTTTTGTAGGTGCAGTAAGTGTTAGCACACCAAGGCCTTCAGACAGACCATCATGGGTTATTCCTTCATCGGAAGGACCTTCCACGACGTGGTATCCCGCAGCAGGCATACAATCCATCAATGAAGTGGATGAGCCCAATCAATTGGGTCTTCAAAAACCCAGACATAACTTTGCCCAAACACTGCAAACGTCCGTACCCTTTATATCAGTGTTAGTATCGTTGGTATTGATGTATTAGTATATACTTATGAGACGTTTAAATTTACACAATTGAAGATTAAGGATAATAAATATTTTTCAATTGTGTCATAGAACTCAGAATTTTGAACAGGTTATGCTGAATGAGTGACACTCATTCAGCTGTTCTATTTAAAGAATGTACAAAATACCAAAGCAATTTCTAAAATAACCTTAGTCCAGATAATGATGTATCCGTATACAGATATATATATTGTTTTGGGTTGTACAGTTGTAACATTTTATAACGTATAGATAGTTTTAGCTACACGTGCTAGAGTGTACGTTCAAGTCAAAGATATTTGTTACTGTAATACGTCTCGATGCTTTGCACCATCCCTGTGATACCCCATTGTTTGAAATACATAGGGTGTTCGCATATACTAGTACCCTCACATTTTGCCAATGTATTGATTGGCTTTCTTATTTCTCGGAAAATAATATTAAAATCTTTAGTAACGATGAGGCAACGTGTTTTCTGTGGCAAATTGATATGACAGAACAATATCTTTGGGCATGAACGTATTCCACAGAAGTTAAAATTGAAAAAAATGTCACTAGTCATAAATATAGAAGGACTTGGATATAGCTACCATTGGGGCCGGCCTTAGAGTTTTGTGCGCTCTGAGGCAAAAGATAAAATATGTGCCCTCCTCTCACATTGATTGAGAATTTTGCGACCCTCTTCCCTCCACAACACTGCGCTCTGAGGCGGCTGCATCACTTGCTTACCGCCTGTAGCCAGCCCTGGCATATCAACTTTATTAAATGTTGAACTGTATTGAATATATTTATAACAATGTAAATGTGCTTTGTATGTACCCTATTTATTAATAAAAAATTATTTCCAAATCTCATTCTACCTATCAGTTAAAATTTGTGTTTGCAATAATCCCTATCAACATCACGGAGACGTTCTCACTGGATTATCTGAAATGACATAAATAATCAGGACCCAAAGAAACTTCAACTTCGATAATGAATTATTTTCAAAAAAACAATAAAAATAAACAAATTTGTTCAATCTTCAAACTATAGAAATCATAATACACTGTTAGAATTGGCAACAGTTAACCCTTAGGCCCGTATCGTCAGTCGTCCCTACAATTGTAGGGCGCCTTTATGGCCTCCTTGATTGTCATAGTTTTTTACTTCTCCGTGTCAGAACTCTATTTTGAGGTTATGTCACAAACATCTATTTGCATCAAGTTGTGCTTGCTTTCGAGTTATATCATGTTTTACCAGCCTGAAATTTCCTACAATTTAAAAAGAAAACATATCTTCACAATAGGAGAGCGCTGGCGCTGACACAGGACATGTGTAATCTAGAAATTTTTGAAGGAGAGAAAGGAGTATGACAATCAAGGAGGCCATAAACGCGCCCTACAATTGTAGGGACGACTGACGATACGGGCCATAAACACTAACTGTACCTTTGATTGAGGAACATACATATATTAGTCATTTTTCAAGCGTTTATATATTCAGTCCACTATAATGTAACAAATGATTTCAGGTAGCATGTGGCATTGAATAAATTGCTGATCTTAGGAAGCGTAAGCAGTTTTAATGGTTTAAATTTCAGGTAGCATTTGATGGTTGTAAATACCATAGAACACATTCGAAATCCTATTGAAATCAAGTAACGAACCTCATACCATAGAGACCAACTTATTCCTAAACGAATTACATCCAACCTCTTAACTCATGTGCAGAGATTTGTCTGTGTCTGTGGTCTCCTTATATACCTTCACCAGCGGCTTAGAGTGTATGGCTGCCATTATGATTACAAATATAAAAATAAACATCTATTGGAATTCCTCTAACGATAATAGCAACTGCGAATCATTGTTATATAGCTTTATAGAATTTGTTACAATAACAATGATTAAAAATTATACTAAGTTTTCTGCTCTTCCTGATATTAAAACAAATGTTGCTACTACATATTGCAATTTGAATTTCCCTCTCTGTATGTTCCTAAAATCGTCACAAATAGACAGGGACAAATACTGCGTGATTGCCAAGTTTCATGTATTCAAAACAAGTCTCATATTATATAGATTGTCCAACTTTAGGAAATGAGTTTTAATATTTAATTGAGTAGTTTCCCCCAACTGTACGAATAATCAGGGACCCTGTGGGATCGTTAGAAAAATTGTAAAATCTTCAAACGAGTTCCTGATCGTGTTTTGGGCGCTGATCGAAACAGTGATATGTAGATAAGAAGGATTTTTGCGATTTTCGTTTGGAAAAAAGAAATTATATAATTATAAATATCTACCATGCAGGGTACCAGAAAATAAACTTACACCTGTAATGATAATCTGTTTACTAATGGCAGTGTTGTTTACTTGCCTTGGGTTTTTGAACTTGCTCATTCGAGCGACCTAAGGGGGAAATGATAGTAACATCGACTTACTCGTAACGGGGACTTTCCCATATAGTGTAAAGACAGATTAAGATGTGTTGTTGCTGCAGTTTCAGTCTTGTTGAAACAACAGGTTTTGATAGTTTTCCACAAGTCCACTAAGAAATAATGGAAACTAAATATTTTTGTAAGCATTCAACATAAACACCGGATAGTTGCACCCATCAACACTCCGCATCGAGTCTTCTGTTAGCACTACGATGATTCGATATGATTTCTTGTTCATTCTCCATACTGAGTGTTCCCGAGCCTGAAATTGAAGTAGCGACGATATGCACCCTAGGGTAAGACAACAGGCTCCAAACTTCAACGATAAAATTCGACATTCGCTGCCGTCAAACACAGTGTACCGTCTCCTATCCCTTCCCACTCACAAAATGTAGAGAAAATTTTGAAAAACGGGGATGTCCTAAATAAATCTGACAATAACGTTCATTTTGGGCTACCCTGTACTTAAGGAATCGATTTTAGTCCTGAATCGTACTTTTTTCTTTAAACGTGGCAACTAGGCCGACAGGTCTCAGCTGATTGTGACGTATGTGGACGTGATGCTTCAAGTCTGAAGTTTGTATGGTGGATGTGAAAACGTTTTGCAGGCTGCAGGCATTTTAGCCCAGGCGTTTCATTATAATGTAATATTATTTAACAAATTCGGAGTGTGTAGTTCACTTTCGAACATAGTTCAAGACTTGTGCAATCTGTGATCAACAACTTTCACAAGCGTAGCGTTTCGGGAAACAAAGTAAGTAAAAAATCGATCACAGATGTAGGTGAATGAACAGTTAATTCTCAGCCTAATTAGCACCTTTTGATGATTGAACAGGTTCTTTAATACCATAATAAACTCAAAACATGGTCAGTAATATTTTCATTACACGTGATGCTCACATTCACTCTGAAAAGATATACGTATGGTTATATTTGAGAAACGTGTTGACCTTTGCTTATCATTCAAGTGTGTGGCAGTTTGTTCAACACATTTTACTGTTCAGTTCTAGTTGTAGCTCGGTAATAGGAGGACAGCATCATGTCTCACTACAGTGACGCCGAGGACTCCATCAGTAATGATTTTTCGGAATTGGAGGGACTTAGGAAAAGGAACATCTGGGATCCTGAGGTTGAATCTATAACTTCGGAAATCAAGGACCTTTTGGATGAAGATGTAAATTCATTGGTGAGAAATTTGGCTCTCTCTATTATGCAATATGTTATAACAGTTCAAAAGTGCATCAAATTTTACTAAGCCTGTATGCCAATGTTATAGTGTTGAGATGCCAAAAGTCGATAAGCAAAAGCAAATAATAGTAGCAAATAAGTTTTGAATAGACATTAGTCTTAAACATATACATATTATCTCTTTTACAAATAGGAAAATACAAGTAGATTAGTGGACCCTTCTAATTGAAACTATTTTCTTGTGACCCTATTATGTATTTAGAGATTTTTTTGTTCTCATGATATTCTTGTATTACCTGGATTACCTCATTCATCAGTTTTGATAATAATCAACATAAAGGTGTAAAGGCTGGCATGTAGTGTTTGTGGTATCCAATCTCTTGTGGTCTTCATGCATGAATGAATGAATGAATCTTGAATTTTAGAGGCATCCCGGCCACCATAAGGAGCCAGTGCATAGGCCGCTTAAGCGGGCCCTTATGCACCTCTACAATACTTAAATCACAAGCCTCGCCCTTTTAGCGAAGTTGAGAATCGCCTTGAGTCCAAGCTCCTTTACGTCCTGAGGGTCCAAAGTAATAGACCCCAGTATAGTCTGCCTATAGTAGCTCAGAGCTTCACAGCGACACAAAACGTGCGCCGAGGTCTCTTCCTCTACTCCGCAGCGTTCACATAAGGGATCCTCAGCCACCCCCATCACGTGCAGGTGCCGCCTTAACGTGTTATGGCCAGACAACAGTCCCACCAGCAACCTTAGGTTGGCTCTACCCAGAGATAGGCAGAAGCGTCCATCCTTAGCACTGGGCCCTTCAATGAGCTCTCGTGCCTGGCGGAGATGTCTAGAGATACTTCTCCATTTCTGAGAGTGTTGTCTTGCAACCCACGTCTCCATTTTCCTCCTAGCTTTATGCGCGGTTACTCCTAGAGCTGGCTCAGGACCAACGAGCTTGCTGGCTGATCCTGTTTTCGCCAGAGTGTCCGCCGTCTCATTGCCCCTTATCCCAGCGTGCCCCGGTACCCATATTAACGATACCGGATGCCTCGCTGCGAGGCAATCCAGAGCCTCCCTGCATTGCAATACAAGACTCGAAGTAATCTTACATGCACTTAGTGCTTTCATTGCAGCCTGGCTGTCGGATAAGATTGTTATTCTTCTCCTAGGCCCACCCTCCTCCAGAATGTGAGATACACAAGCCAGAATCGCAAAGATTTCCGCCTGGAAAATGGTGGTGTACTCACCGAGAGGCAGAGATAGCCTAGTTCTAGGTCCAGAGACCCCAGCACCTGAGCCCTCTTCGGTGACCGAGCCGTCCGTGTACCAGACCTGCCCGCTCACTTCGGAGAGTCCTCGGCTACCGGCGTCCCACTCCTCCCTCGTTGGGTACTCCACAATGAACTTGCGGTTGAAGCGATATTTAGGGGTAATACGATCACCCCTGCTTAGAAGGACGGGGTCCTCCCTATCTAATTCGACTAATATGGCAGTATGCCCCTTGACCGGATTCAAGAAAGCCCAGCTGCCCTGACTCCACAGTCGATGAGCGACTACTCTCGCTTCACCGCGGATCACCAGATCCAACGGTGGGAGATCCAACAGAGCTTCCATTGCACTCAATGGCGTTGTTCGCACTGCGCTTGTAATGCTAATACAGGCCAAACGCTGAATTTTATTGAGTTTGGCCTTAGTTGACTCAGTTCTAATGCAAGGCCACCAGACCAGGGAGCCGTACAAGAGAGATGGACGTACTATCGTCGTGTAGAGCCAGTATACCACTTTGGGTTTAAGCCCCCACCTTACACCGACAACACGTCTACAAGCCCACATCGAATTGCGAGCCTTGCTAACCTTGTGTTCCACATGCTCTCTCCAGTTCAGTTTGCAGTCCAGGATAATTCCCAGATATTTCACTGACTGGGACAGAACTAATCTAGTCCCAAAGAAGGTAGGCATGACCAGTCCGTCAAGCCTTCTTCTCCTAGTGAATAGGATCAGCTCGGTCTTTTCAGCATTAACAGAAAGATCGACTTCCCTACACCACGATTCCACGGAGCGCAGAGCGCCCTGCATAATTTCCGAGACTGTTCTACAGAAACGCCCCCTAACCACTATGCTTACGTCATCAGCATAGGCTTGCACGTAGACACCCATACTGTTGAGCCTAACGAGCAGTTCGTTCACCACGATACACCACAGTAGGGGTGACAGAACTCCACCCTGAGGGCAGCCTCTAGCTACGTTCACGCTGCAGCTTACGTTATTCAGCATAGCTGTTGTTACCCGACCCTCCAGAGTAGAGAGGACCCAATCTATTAGGATTGATCCAACCCCGTGTCTAACCAAGGCCTGTCTGATAGAGTCGGTTGTGGTGCAATTAAATGCACCTTCAATATCTAAGAAGGCCACGAGTGCCACTTCTCGCTGATCTAGAGTCTTCTCCAGCCTCCCAACCAGATTGTGTAAGGCCAGATCAGTCGATTTTCCAGCTTGGTATGCAAACTGATTTGCATGAATGACACACCTTTCCAGTGGGCCATCCCTTAGGTATCTATCAACTATCCTTTCCAGGGTCTTAAGCACAAAAGATGAAAGAGTAATCGGTCGAAAATCCTTCGGGCCAGTATATCTATCTCTGCCCGGTTTAGGAATGAATACCACTTTAGCCTGCCGCCAACTTCTAGGTGTGAAGCCCGTGGCCACACATGCTCGAAACACATTCAACAGGTAAGGAACAACCGAAATCCGTCCCTGCTGTAACATGGCCGGAAATACGCCGTCCAGACCTGGACTTTTGTATGGGGCAAACGAATCTACTGCCCATACCGTCCTTTCGAAGGTGACAATCTCCCTTGCCGTGCGCCAGTCCTCCCTTGAGGGCCTGCGCAACTGCATGCACTCTGTGATTGATCGCGCTACTGTGGAACCGGGAAAGTGCGTATCCATCAGAAGCCTCAGAGTATCTTCCTCGGAAGTAGTGTTCCCTCCCGAGGGATCATGCAGAGATCCCAATCTTGCTTTAGTGTCTTTGCATAGGACTCTGTGTATTCTTGCAGTAGCAGGAATGTCATTTATGGACTGACAGAAGTGCCTCCAGGATTCTCTGGAGGCCCTTCTAATCTCCTTTTTGTACTCCTGCAATGCCTTTTTGTATTCTTCCCATAGAGGAGAACCTCTCCTGTGCTTAACTCTGCTAAGAAGTTTGTGCACCGCTCGTTTTCTATCCTCTAAATCTTTGGTCCAGAAGGTTGCCTTGCCCTTACCTTGTACTTTGCGTAACGGGCAGTTTTCCTCATATGCGGCCGTCAAGTCCCTGCTCAGAGACTCGACAGCTGCTTCTATGTCAGAGCCCCTGCCAAGCCTGTATGGGACCGCTCCAAGCTTACTGTCAATGTCTGCCCTAAAGGACCCCCATCTAGTATGCCTGGGATTCCGAGCATATTTATCCGGAATCTCTCCATCAGTCTTGAACAGTATATACCTGTGATCCGATAGAGAGGGTGTTAGAGACACTTTCCAGTCCCTGATGTCCTGAGCTAAGTTAAGCGTGCTCAGTGTTACGTCGATAACCTCTTCTCTTACACTATTGCTGAAAGTGGGCATGTTACCGACATTCAGAACCTCAAGGTTCGATGCCCCAAGAAACTCCATCAGGTCTTCGCCTCGTCTGTTGGTGTTCGAGCTGCCCCACGCAACGTGATGGGCATTACTGTCGCATCCAATCACAAGGTCGAGTCCAGAATCCCTACAGAATGCGACAAGGTCCCCCGGTCTTCATGCATACAAACAGTCTTTTTCTCAAGCAAGTTGATACATGCGTAAAAATCAACATTTGGTTGATTTTACTCATGTCAATCAGTAGACAAAATACAAGATATGATTTGGTACCACATACACAATTTGCACGAGAGCCTGCGCCAGCTTCAAGATCTGAATACTGCTAATACTATTCAGAAAATAAAATTCCACATTTCCTGAATCCCTGTTTGCCAAATATTAATAATAATAATAATAATAATAATCGTCTTTAAGCTTGGATTGTTGTCTAGGTAACAAGACCCTAACTGTAATGCTTATTTATCTCTATGTGTTTGTACAATAATACTCTTGTTTATCAGTATGTTTGTTTATCTGACACTGTGCCTAAAAAATTCCATTTTTTATTTATGGAACATTAATTTTACTGCCAAGGGTATCACTTAAGTTGCATAACATCAAATCAATATTATTAATGATAAGAATACATACTTTCTTCTTTCCAATAAATCAAATGTATTCACTTGGATATTGAGGGATAAAATGTGTAACAAGCAGCTTATTCCTGGTTATTTTGCATATACTTTGGAAATTGTTTACTTAAAGAAAACTAAACACACAGTATATATATATATATATGCTCATTTCTCGAATGGTCATGCCATGTTATAGTATGAAATAATTACAGATATCTAGCAAAATAGATGGTAAATGTCTGTAGTCCATTTTAACATTTGATTAGATTTCTTCAAAACTATTACTTCACAATATTGCTCTTTTGTAATTAACAAAATATTGTTCATTAACAATTGGAAGTTGTTTCCATATTTTCATCAAATTATTTTGTATAACACTTGAGAATAAAATGCAGAACCTCTAATCAATCTATTGCAATAAATTACACATTGAAATATTAAGAAATGCTACTGGATTTTGGTTAAACATAAGTATAAGTGATATACAATGATAGATCAGGTATAAATGAAATGTTTCATTTTTGGTTTTCTTTAATTTCCCTTTTAGAAATATTTTAGTTCTAATTATTCCATGTAAAACTTTAATAAGATATTACCATTGATAAATGCACCTGGAAAAAATAAGTCACTCTCCCCACCTGTTCCTATAGCACTTATTTGCCACTTTCTAAATTGTAATGTAGTCTCGATTTTATGATTTGTGGCTGGGAAGAATTACCAAAAATTGATTTTAAAATCTACAACCTTTTTTGTGATTACTTAAGAGGGGAGGGAATTTTACAAAAATGAACCATGGATCCCACAAGATCCAAATTATTATTCTTTGACCTCTCCTCAGTTGATACCTGTGCAGTACTCACCTTTTACAAACTCAATTCCATCCAGTGCCATGTCTATGAGCAACTTTCCTTAATTCCTGTAATAGTGGCTTGTGTTAATTACTACCATGCCCATCATTTCTATCTCGATAGAAAAAATGAATAATATCGTTAGATTGTAGTAGCTTTCGTTTTTTCTCTTTCTTTTTTCCGACATTTCTTCCATGTGGTTAAGTATCCAATTAATTTAATAATTCCCATGTTTCCCTAAAATTTTGTATAGGTGATTTAATATTATTGTGATAGTTGATTTATCTGAAGTTAGATTTGTATAATTTTCGATATATCCGCGTCATGGGTATGTTGGGATTATAAATTAAATACAGATATGTTCCAAAGTTCATTAGGCTGCATTATTTAAAACATCTTTTAAATAAATTTCATAGCATCTTCAGTACTTATGTTCATGTTAGAATTATTCCTGGAATGTTCAGGTCGATTCATAGTAAATGCAGCATATAAAAATAATGTATCGACTGAAATATTTGTCATGATGATCAAACAGTGACACTATTAGCGTTTGAGATTATTGCAGGCTTTGTAGAGCAAATCAAGTATTGTCGTGAAATGTCGGGTGAAAAAATTCTTATTGGTAGCTAGAAATAAACTATTGATGAAGGTGTAAATGTTATCAATTTGCTGACTACGTAAGTATTAAGTTTGAATGCTCGTATGCTGAAATTCAACAGTCATATGGCCCGGACTGTGAGCTCACTTTCGTTTATGGAATTATTATGAATTTATAATTTACGGTTTTTCAACCACATCAAGCAATAAAGGGCTTTCGTGAATTTTCTCTATAGTTAACAGTTTTCGAGCTGGTATTCGATTTATTTTCATTTTTATAAAGCATCTAAGTATTCTTTAAACAGAATAATATTCACCATGGGCGCAGATAGAAGAGGCCAGGGCCGGACGTGGCCCTTCCTGAGAATCTGGCTGCCTCTTAAAATTTGCATATTCATCATCGTTCCATACACCATGTTTAAAATGTTTAAGATTCACTCTCTAAACACTTTTATACAAATAAAATATGAATATATTTGTCTTTCTTTTTTTACAGTTAGATAATACTTTGATTAATTACATGTTCATGACCTTATGCAGGAAGTTATCAGTTGGGGTTTCCATGCTATACAGAGTTCTTGTTTTATAAATACATGTTTTATCAAATAATGCTTGACTGAAACTTCATGTATTATAAAAATATGTAGAAGGCTAATTTCAAAAGCTACGGCAAAAATCGTTGTATTGTTTCAAGAACAATCATACATATTTGATGAATATACTGATCTAATAATGAAGCAATTTCAGGTATATGAAACAGTAAAGAAGAAAAAGGTTTCATATATTTTTTCCAAACTGTCTATCGGTAACGGTTCAATGATCAAGAAATAATTGATCCTTGGTCCATTTTTTGTACCATGTGAATATTCCAGCTTTTTTTTCCAAAAAGTTGGGTTGGTGAAAGCTGCAAAGACCTACATCGTAACTCAATTAACATGACTTTGCAAATTTCAATCAACATCGAATCGTTTAATTTGTTTCTTTGTTGGATAGGCAGATCTTCTCGCAGACCTTTTGTTGGTGCATTCCTGTAGTCGGCTGAAATAGAATTCTAAAGTGACATCAAAACTTATCTACTGACAGCACCATCCAAAAAATCACCTTTGACATATGTCTCTTTCTAATTTTGCCATATGGCTTCTAAAAGAAAAGAAAATCACGATCCAAAAAACGAGAATGTGGCCCTCTATGCTATTCTAATATTCAATTTTGAAAATCAACATTAATTGCAATGACTACAGGCATTTCTAAAAATGTTTCTAAAAACACCAATAATTTTCACTCTTTGCAGGTGGAAGAAGACTGTGTAGGATGTCCACTGCCCTCAACGCCGGAGGATGAAAACTTCTTGGATTCTGAGATGAGTGACGTACTAAAAGCGGCGGTTCTAGGTACAGGTAGAGTAGTTTAGGGGTCGTGTACACCCTTCATTTGTTTTCCGTTTTTTTCTTCTTGTTTCTCATCAATCATGCCAGGCTCTTGAGTGTGATGTGCTTTGGCTACTACTCTATTTAGCGCTACTGTCTTTAGCTGGCTAACGCTACGGAAAACTGCCTGATTCAAAGACACATGATTTTTGTATACAATCGAGGCAGTTTTGCAGGTAGTATCATCTTTTCATATTATATGTTTTCCTTACTTTTTTGAAGGTTTTATACTGACGTGATTATGCGATTATCATTCAGTGCATGAAATAAATGCCTATTAAATTGATACTTCCTCAAAATTAATTTGACTGAAAAATGCATTTTTAGGCAGTGCACTACAAACTAATATAATAATGCCAAAGCTAAGCATTTTTTCCATAAATTTCCATAGTGGTCTATCAACTGTGTGAGTTTTCAAGATAATTTGGCAAAGGGACTGTAATAATGTAACACCTAAAACCGATCCTGTGGTTTTCATGCTGATAGGGTTGACTGGCCAAATAAAACCACATGCATATGTGTGTTTACTTCTTTACTGAAGTTTTGACAACCATGGTGACCTTATTCAAAGTCAGTTGAAAATCACTATATTTTATGTTTATCGATCTGTCTTCCAGGTGCCAGTGCTTATGTTTTTTTTTTCTTTTCTTTGCTACTACACAGTGTGTTGCGTCACCAGCCTGAACGGTCCTGTACCACGCTGAGATCACGCAAAGCCATCACAGTTTTCAGATGGCACCTCGTAACCATGGGGTCCTATTCGATTGCTACTACTGCTATGCTTCTAATTCTTAGAAGTGGTAATAGCGTCAGTGTAAAACTATCGTTAATTTTAGATAGTTCTAATATGCTGGATCAGTGTTTAACATAGATTGTCAGCTAGATATGCATACCTATATACTTGTAGTACAGTTCTCTCATAATTATGTCCTTGAATTTAGCAGCTCTATCATATGTTAATAAAATGTCAGTTTTGTTAATTTATACGACTAACGTTATTTTTGGAGTGGCTATATTGTGAGAGAACAGTGTCATTTGTTTAGAATGCAAATCATTTCATATAATTCGATACACATTGAACCAACTGAATAAAGATTACATAATGATAATATAATATAATATAAATTATATGCCTTAGATGCACAGATTTAGGTTATATTTCTCCAAATCTTTTTGTTGTCCATTTATTGAAGTGCAAATGTGTATCTTCTGAATCTTTATCTAAACCTTATTTTTATATGACTTTTTTCAAATCTATGCCGCCATTTTGCCTCTCCAGTTTTTTTATATGAGAGCTCAAAAAAAGTTGCTGATATTTACGATTTGAGATTATAAGTCTGGTTCTGCTTGGGTTCGGCTAACAAAACATTTGACACATCATCTGAAATATTTACATCTGTAATTTCAAATTTATTATTCTCATGAATATATGATAATGCGTAACAAATCGTAAGATTGATAATTGATGTGAAATAATAAACTATTTAATACATGATTTTTTATGATATGTGATGAAACAGTATTGCCAGTAATATTGATAACTTCACAAGGAAATTTTAGAAATTTTAAGTTCGTGAATAATATATAAAGGAATAATTACTTCAGATTCTTTACATATCTTAGTTAATCAGTAGAAAGCATGCGCATCAATGATGTCACTCCTGATAAACAAGATATAGGAGGTTATGGTCTACTATTAAACGCAAGATTGACTTAAAAGATAACAGCTGTATGACATCTATGATGACTTTGATGATGACAGATAGCAAGGGTAGCGTCATTGTTGCGGTTGGTCTGTCATGTTCAGAAATGCTTTCTTTGGTGGCACTGTTGACTGTGTGTGGTTAGTGTGAGATAATCCATAAATTTGTTCATTGATGTAAGGGAATTATACCCGCCTCACATTGATAATAAAGCCATGGGTTTCTACATGAATTGAAAACATGCCCTAATTTCAAACGTATAAAACAGGAATTTGACGTCAAGTAATTGCATGAACTTCGTGGATTTATTTGCGCAATTTGAGCATGTTCTAATGTTTGTCGTTTCGACGTCAAATTACATGGTGCCAGCCTTGTTCTCTTTTCCATTATAATGAACAGTTCTCTATTTCAAGTATAGAACTACAGTATTCAACAATAGTTTCTGTTTGCGAGATTCGCGTTAAGATCAAAACCACAATATATACATATAATATATGGTATAACTCAAACTATATTTTTAGCAAGAATTTATTGTGTAGTTGACAGTCCTCTGCTCCGTAAGATCGTCCATGAATTTATGTTTGATATAAGACAGCACAGAATGGACCACTGCGAAAGTGAAAACAGCACGCTGCCTGTTGGAACTGTTGCCCAATTTGCATTGACAGCCGGGTCACCACTATGGCTGCTAGATGCCGCCAAGTCTGGCGTTGTAGCAGATACAGTCTACTCGCTATTGTACAAACTAGTAATATAGCTTTCGTTTGTTCGACTACAGACGGCCAACCGTGGGCAGCTTTTTTGTATGATTTGAAAACTCTTCAACACTGTCTCGGCTTGCTCTCAACGAACCAAAGTGTATCAGAGTATAAGGTTTATGAAATAAGACAGCACAATGGTGACCCGGGCGACAATACGAATTGGAATACAGTTCCAACTGTCAGCTTGCTTGAGTAATAAATGTATAAAACAGTTTTTTGGGTCACTTTACTTGACTCATAATACTTTTGGACCTGCAGAATACCATACTTTGACCAAAATAGGTCATAACTGACCACCTGAAAAACTACTATTGTTGTCCGAACCCAAGAACATAATGTCCCTCGAACCTCTTAGACACAATCACCAGCTTGCTTATTTGAAACATGGATCTCACCTCTGATGCCCAGGCGCATACTACATGTATGTCCGTTTCTCTTTTTTCTCTGTCTCTCTGTTGTCCTCCCCCTCTGCGCGGCACCGGTGCAGTAAACCTGCTTGCAATTGCAGGCGACGAGCTGGACATCTCCGCCTTGGCCCACAATGCGGCCACACAAGCGGAACACGTGGTCAGGAAGATGATTCAGGCTGGATGGTCCTGCTGCCATTTCAACAATCTGCCCGCCTGGTTGCAGGACAACGACTTCCTGCATTTCGGCCATAGGCCGCCGCTACCCAGTTTCAAGGCGTGTTTCAAGAGCATATTTAGGATTCATACGGAAACGGCCAATATTTGGACGCATTTGCTGGGATGTGTAGCATTTATAGGTAAGTTGTGTTTTTACTTCCTACGCTCACTGGCGAGGAAGCATTGTAACCGCGAAAAATTTCGAAAATGAGGTATTGTTTTGACATGCACGTCATGAAAAACCATGTCACTCATTTCCGTCGGTCTGCCTGTTTGTCTGCTAATCCTTGGCCCGTCTGAAACTTGGACAGTATTTGGAATTAGGTGAATTTACAGAAGGTTACTACTATGCCAAGTTCGAAGAAGCTTTGTAGTTTTTGAATATCGCCAGTGGCGGCAGAGGAGAAGGCCATAAACGACAAAATAAAAATCGCTGATTCTTCTTTTTTTTGTCGTTCAAGAGATTCTGATAGTTTCTGAAAAAAAAATTAGGTTTAAAGAATTTGGGTTGTGGGTATATATCAATCTTTTGAGGTCAGTATATTTATACTTTACCAAACTCGGCAATTCTACGCACCTACTAGACAGACGTATTTCACACATCAAGGATTCGCCCTTACAACTTAGAATGATAGAGAAGTGCTTCCGATACGCGCCCTGCTTCTGCTCTCTGGGTTTACTGGAGGGTTTTGGTAAGAGTGGTATTACTGCCGCGTCTGACCTCAGTACTGCCGAACCAAAAAATTCCAAAGCGGTAGATCGTATCGATGAAAACCTTTTTGTAGAGCCGTCTATGAACTACTCATAATACAAGCTTTTTGAGTTGAAAATTTCACTTCTTTATTACAACAAACTTCTTTGCAACAATCCTAAAAAGTCCTTTCCCCATTCTTATTTATAACACTGTAAATATTTTTCTGTTTTTCCCTGAACTTGAACCCTCATCATCTGACATCTTAATTTAATATAGAGTATTTAATTTCTCTGTTATACATATTCGTAACTATTTTTTTTCAGAGAGGGTCTAACTTGTGCTCGACATAAATAATGCTTTATGAACTGATGACAGCGTTGCATGGGAAGGGTAGAACCAACCTACTTGGTGCCATTTTTTACTGTCCACGACGTGTCATGGATAAGGAGACACAAGTTTTCTTTAGACCAATATATTGCCATCCTACAGCCAAGGAATGTGAAGGATATATTAATTTTTTAGATATTGTGGAATAGCACAAACAAGGAACATAAAAGTTCATATTTCCTCTTATTTCCATATTTGCTAAAAAATATATAACAAATACATGGAAGAAGTTGTGATTTCTAGAGAACCAAAATTGGGTTTGGAGATCTTTGACCTTTCACAGAAAATCGATATAATGTTATTCATTACTTCCTATCCTCATAACTTTGTTGGGCGAAATTTGTATTTTCGTCTTGCATTGTTTCAACGTAACGAATCTCAGTGCACCTAGATAATTTGGAACGCTGTATTTAAATATAACTGTCAAAAAAATCTTGAGGCGTCGAGGGATCGAATTTAACGAAGAAAGCAGGGCGCGCGGGATCCTCATAGATCATAACGTCAAACTGATTTGGACTCTACGTAGTACGCATCCGATAAACCCAGGATGCACACAATACGAGTCCGTATCGCAAATTTGCAGCGGTTTCTGAAAAAGTTGTCATCTCTCGTTGTTAGAAGTTGATGAAACTTAATATATTTAGGCAATTTGAGGCACTGACTCCGAATATGACCGAGAAAGAATGGTGAATTATTTTGGGATCGAACTGGATATAAAACCCACTGGGTCGTAGTGTCAAATCGACTGATTTGGAATCTACCCAATCGTAACAGCAGTTTTGTTGATGTAATATTTTTATGCTTATTTCAGGAATAGCCATCTACTTCTTAATGCGTCCCGTCATCGAAATTGAACTGGAAGAGAAGATCGTCTTTGGAGCATTTTTTGCTGGGGCCATCATTTGCCTAGGCTGTTCCTCATTGTTCCACACATTGAACTGCCATTCACAATTCATCGGAAAACTATTTTCGAAGCTGGACTACTGTGGTATTGCTTTATTGACTATGGGTTCGTTCGTGCCGTGGCTGTACTACGGATTCTATTGTCATTTCAAACCGAAAGTAGTCTACTTATCGGTAAGTCACATGTGTATTATTTTTTAAATGTTTTTTTGGTTGAAATTCTAGTACCCTTATGCTGAAGATGCCTCAGTGCAATACATCGATGCCTTGCGCCTCCACTGTGATGCCTCAATGTGTAAGCAGCTCATAGCTATTCAACCTCACTATGCAATAAAGGTGTACCTGTCAGTTCCATTGTAGTTATCAACACTAAAACTGATCAAAATCAAACCTAAGAGCCCCAGTAAATATAAGCGCTAACTGTCTCGACATCAAGCGAAAAATACTCATTTGTACTATTTAATATCCAATGGTGGTGTATCACCTTCTTTTATCTGGTTGCTTGTTATATTTTCTTCCACATAAAAGTGTGATCTTTGCACTCCAGGATATATTGTACAGGGGAAATTAGGCATCTTCAGCTTGCGCAGAGCAAGTATAATCTATTTTTTATGGTAATCCATCACGTCAAAACATGACAATACATAACAACTACTGACACTGTAAAATATCCCATATCACCAGGTGATACACAATTTTGATGGATCTCTCAACACTAGATCGGTAGACGGAATTGTATTTTCTTATGGCTCTATGTACCCCCACGAAAAATGGATTTTAAGCATTGAGGAATATGTAAACTATACTGCTGACATTAAAGAAGCAAAAACTTTGACGCGAACTTCAGAATTCAGGTTTTAATAATATCTATATTGTCCTGCATGTTTTACTTCCTACGCCTTACTGGTGGAGGGAAGTATTGCAATCGCGTAAAATTTCGTAAATGAGATATGTTTTTTGGATGTACATTACGAAAAATTACGTCACTCATTTCCGTCAGTCTGCCTGTCAGTCTTTCTGACGAACTGTCTGCCGGTCTGGCTGTCGGTCAGTCTGACTGTCTGTTAGTCCGTCTGTCCCGGTAATCCTTGGCCGCTCTATAACTTGAAAAGTACTCGGATTTGGATGACATTTTTACACAAGGTTACTACTATGCCAAGAACGAAAAAACTAGTTTTTGAAAATCGGTCTAGTGCAAAAGGCCAAAAACGAAAGGAATAAAAATCTCTCGAACTTCGTGTTTTTGACGTTCCAGAGGATATTGATCATTTTTGAGAAATTTTATTTATTTTATTGCTAAAAAGTATTGGGGGGTGCGGGGGTGAGAGAGGGTATGTCACAATTTGTTGATGTCAGTTCGTACTTCACAGATCATAGATTTTCCGGTACATTTGACCCTAAAAATATTTTCAGCCGATAGGTTTCGCACCTATCGGTCGCACTTGCATTGTGTCATGTGGTTGTAAGTATTGCATCTGTTTGAGTGGAACCGAGGAACTTATAAAAATACATAGCAGACGGCGCGGTGTGCGATATTGTCATGCGAGGTGTGCGCGATATTATCTGATAGGTTATGCATGTAGTGAAATTTAATCAGGTAGCTTGATTTCGAGAGGAATCAGACATTGTTCACAAACAGCTTCACACCAGAGCAATAAAGAAATGCAATCTGAGGGTTTTTTTTTCATGAAAAGTCCAAATAGTGCACCAATGCTTCTGACAAAATCTACGTCTTTTTGATGTCATTGCCCTACATGGAAAATTGTACTTGAAGTTGTTTTAAAGGCATGGGAAGTGTGGAGTCAATCTACTAGATGCTTTTTCTTCGTTGTTGCTAGTATCCTTAGTGTTTTCACTTGTTTATCCTTGTATCAACATTGCCCAGCTATTGGTTAATATCGTCAATGGTCGGAGGAAGACTTGAAGACGAGAACAGCATTGGCCATTAACGTCTCTGCCCAATAATCATCTTGGATGTAACATGTACATTGTATGGTGTGTAATTGTATGTTTTTATTGCAGATAGTCTGTGCTTTGGGCATCACGAGCATAATAGTGAGCTTATGGGACAAATTCTCGGAATCGGAGTGGCGTCCTTTCAGGGCAGCCGTTTTCATGACGTTCGGCCTTAGCGGTGTCGTTCCAGCCATCCATTACGGAATAGTCGAGGGATGGTTCAATTACGTCAGTCAGAAGTATCTTGGCTGGTTGGTGCTCATGGGAGTACTGTATATTATAGGGGCCATGTTCTATGCACTCAGGGTACCAGAGAGGTAGGTGGTAAAAATACGAATGTTCTTTTAGTTGAAACTTGTGAAAACAGACACTTTAGTTTACTGGATCAATCAATGAATCAATCACTCATTGAACAAAAAGCACAATGTATACGGTTGAACCTCAAAATATGCAAATTTCGTATGATGTTCTCACTTTCACAAAAAGTTATTACTTGCCGATGATCCCTTCTTAGAAAAATTCCTGCCGGCGCCTTTGAACTTGATGCAATGAAAACTTGTAATAGTAAGATTCACATTGGAAAAACCGATTTCATAACACGTAGAAATGAATTGGCTTGCAACAAGTAGATGGGACATCCTTGGGAGTATGACCACTACTTTTATCAATGACTTCAGACTATGTAGAAGGAGAAAGTCAAGGAGTTGCGTGTCTCATAGTTCTCATAGTTTGTAGTGGGAATGAAAGTGCACTTGACATACGTCAACTTTTTACAATTCTGTCATTAAATTCCTATACTTTGTGTTAGTTTTTGAAAGTTCGAGTGCTTGCAGATAATTGTGGTATTAGACAAATTCAAGGCATGGCACACGCCTAACGAAGGTAGATGTTTCCATCAGTTAGTATTATTATTATGTTGACACAACGTTGTCACTTTGGTAGACATTGGTTGTCAAATGAGTCAAAAGTATACGCTAAAACTACACAATTTTGGCGACAAACAATGCAATGCAAACATTCTTGACTCCATCTGATCTCTTTGAATTCGTTTTATGAACTGCAATTTCACGATACTGAGTTTTAAGAAACTTGCGTAAAAGATGTTTCTTCAATTTCACGTCTCGTATATTATTCCGAATTTAGTTCTGAGTGATTTTAAATGAAGGATTTTCCTTCTAATATCCACGGCTTGTAGAGGAAAAAATGATGGCAAAAATTAGCTTTGTAACTCTGAAAAAATTCTCAAATTTTATGGGATCAAGATGAGCTCAACTGCTGTTTTGTCGATCTCTCATAAATGAGTAGACCCAAAACTATCGATACTTTCATCATCAGAATCCGTCTTACTACTATCATAATCAATTGAAAAACGTTTCCCAGGTTCTCATGTTCATGTACAATTGGTTCATTGAACCATGAAATCGTTTTCACGAAACGAGGTTTTTACATTGCATCAAAAGAAAAAGGGATGTTCAATTCACTAATTATTATTAGTGCCTCGAGAATTTGGAGATAGAGCAGCTCTGTTTGATTTAATGTGAAATGTTATGATATTTAAGTGGGGTTTATAACCGTGTTACGATCAACGAGTCCATTCAAGGATGCCTGGCCGTATACTGAAAGAAGCAACCGGTTGATAGGCCGATATTACACCCGTATATCGGCATTTGATATCATAATCAGTATCAGCCGATTATCGGTATCCGCGAAAATCCTGTATTAGTCTATCTCTTTTTTAAAGTAGTGTTGTATGGTTTGCTATTTATGTGATAATATTGTCACCTTTTCAGGTGGTTCCCTGGCAAATTCGACATCTGGTTCCATTCGCACCAAATCTTCCACGTCTTCGTCTTAGTTGCAGCTTTGGTCCACTACCACGGCATTTCAGAGATGGCGATGTACAGGGTCACGATAGGTCAGTGCGAGATATCCAACTCGTTAATATACTAGAAGAAAATTCGTAACTATCATAATCATCAAGTAGCTGTGAATTTAAATAGGATTTCGTGACCTGATGACCGAATGTTTGCTTGTCGGTCGGCAGGTTGTGAAATCGGAGATACCTGCCATGCAGTTTTGAGAGAACTATGCTGGTAGGAGCAAGTGTCAAACTGTAAAGGATACTCTCAGTATTTTAATGCTTATAGAAAGGGGTTTTCAACAATTAGGTCGCGTCCATGAAATCTTTGCATTTAAATATTGCGTTAAACATGCGATTTCAAACTTTCATCAACATTTTTCATTTTAGTACTTGATTGATTTTCAAAAGTTTCGTAATTTATATATACTTTTATTTTTATGTATGTTTTGTGTATTAGTGTGTTTCACTATAGACTTGAAGTTGGTCGAAAATGGGTGTAATTTGGACAAAAATGCAAGAATTGCAACCTGGGTTTTTAACGAAAAAAGTACTAAAATGAAACGGAAAATGTTAACGAAGGTTTAAAATTCATATGATCTAAAACATTTAAACACAAACATTTCATAGATACACTTAACTTGAAATTTGAGTTATTTTCATGGCTGAAAACCTCGCTTATAGACCCTTTTCTACAATCTTTTGCGTTCAGTTTATATGAAATGTTATTAAACATCTCTGCAATCTACTCTGAATGTTTCATAAGAACGTCTTATATAAGCTTTCTTAAGCAGAGCTCATGGAAGCCCTGAAGCTGTCAAAACGCTTTATAACATTTAATATATTAAGCCTTAACAGATACAGTATTTTAAGTAAAAACACCCCAAAATAGGAATAATTTATTTTCTGGGTCTTTTTTTTCATACCTTCTGTGATAATTAATACATTTTAACACTATGTTATGTTCATTCAGTTTTTATTTAGAGTATAATTTTTAAAATGATTATATGAACCGGTATTCCAATTTCACCTCTAGATGTCTATAACGTTGACATACGACATTTGAACTACCAGAAATGTTCTACTCGAAAATTGTATTGCGCGTATAAATTGTGGTATATCGAAGAATGTTTGTTAAATGTTTATATGAAAAATATATATTAAGAGCATAATATTAAATAACAAAATGGGTCACCAACGCATGGCATTTTGCACTTTTGTTGACTAAATTGAGGATTAGTTTTGCTGTGCAATTCAACTTGGACATTAAGGTTTACCGGTACTTTTTGGAAAGATGCATATGCGGTATCGTGTTTATTGATCATTGATGTTTATAATTGCAGTCTAAAAATTACCAGCTCCTTAATGATCAAACGTCGCTATTATGATAATTTGTAGAGGAGAAGTAGCCATATTTGTTTGAACAGCACTGTATGGGCCACCTCAAAAATGAAAAATAATGTGTTTTTGTATCAATTTTTACATGAATTATAAAAGACTTAGCCACATTTAAAAAAAATGTGACATTTTTGAGGAATTCCTTACGTTGATATCATTATTAGGGTTGAATATATCGTACTGGGTATAAAATGATCAACTGCTTCTATATTCTAAATATATTCATGTTAATGTGCAATTCTTCAAGCATTACACATAATATGCCCTATATTCCTTTCATATGCTTGCGAAATTTCTCTTGTGTACCTTCTTATAAGAACTATTAGTATTTGTTAACAAAGCCGTTTTGTGATGAAGAGAGCATGTCAGAATAACGACATAAAAATCGCAATTAAATCAGATGAAGAAATATGTAAGTTTATTATTTACATCCATGAAGCTGCAATGAACTTTTAGCGCGTATGGCTAACTTAAAATTGGGTTATTGTGATTATATCGTAAGCATCTACTATGTTATTTAATGAAGCTACTAAATTATATTACAGGCTGTAGGAAAGGTTTTATTTTGCTGTTCTGACATGCACTTTAGCAGTACACTTCCTAAAATTTTATACAGGGTGTCGTGAAACAAGCTAACCAAACACCGACATCTGAGCGTCATCAAGACATGCTGTATATTTTTAATAACACCCATGGACTTTTTATCTGAATATTAAAAAAATGAAAAATTGCAATAAAAAATATATTTTGCTATTGTATGTCGACGGGAATAAAATTTAAAACAGATTATTTAGCGTGATGTTTTTTCAAAGTTTCTTCTCAGTTTGTGTTGTTTTTTTGTCTTGGATATTTCCATTGACTATAATTTGTAAATAGCAGTTCTTTATTTGGTATCGTCAGTGATTAGTCAAATATATAGTCCTACAAGAAAGTTGTTTTTGAAGCAAACTATAATAGCTGACCATGCACATATAGTACGTTCTTTGGCGCGGAAAATTGTGGCATCCAAGAAACGCTATTACATTTTAGCATAGCCTCTAGTATTGCTCACACGTTTGGGGTGCTGCCACCCCGACTACATTATTTATGCTCGGTGCTGTCCAGAGGAGGGTTGTTCGACTGATCGATAACTCTTCTCAACAGACATCAGTCTCGGGACCCTTTTGCCGTCTGCGATCTAGCTCTCTTCTACCGCTACACCAACGGGTTCTGCTCCTCAGAGCTCTCATTCATGGTACCGCCGCGCGATGTGCCTGCCAGGCAGACCCGCCTGACTTTGACTATCCATCCGTGTCGTACTTCGTACATCCAGAACTGGCCGATACGACCGCTCCTTTGTCCCGAGTTTATCGAGATTGTGGAACAATCTACAAGAGGAAGCTTTTCCTAGTTCTCCTAACCTTAGGCAGTTCAAAAATCAGATTAACAAAATTTCTAATCGTCACTTACAAATGCCCCACGATTTTACGTCTGAAAGAACGTCTGCGTGGGGATAGCTGTTGTCGATGATATTAAATAACTATCAATAAAAATTTGCTTTCTGTTCAAAACAAGTACAATCTGTAGAAATCAAATATGCGATAAAAACAAAACACATAATTTGTGTTCCTTACCGCATTTTTTGCAAATATACCTAAATCACATTTTTTTCTAAAAAAAATAACAGTTCATAGAACTGGTTGTACACCCCATTTTTGAAAATTCGCTATAAAGCACAGCAGCAGGTGGCTAATTTGAATAATAGGACAATATGCTTGACTTTTCTCATTTCCAAGAGTAGACTGGTTTTACTAGAATATGGATCACTTGAATAATAAATGGATGTTTCCAAAGATTCATTTAGTTTATGTCTAATAGTATGCATAAAACCAATATATTACTTCATTCTACTTTATTATGTATCAAAAACTCATAAAATAAATTTTTAACAAAGTGGTGCATATTTTAGTGTCATTTTTGTTCCAATTTTTGATTTTGATATTTATTGTGATTGCTTTATTGTAGATAAAGATACCTGTTTTGAATTATAAAATGTACCTAATGTTAAATAAATGAATCAAAGTAACTAAAAGTATTTTATTAACAACCATACCATATAGTCCACCAGAATGGGATTCAGAAATCAATGGGGGGCAGGAGGTTCAAGAACCAAAAAAACTTACTGAAACGTCCAAAAAATTACATTAGTTCATCAAACGTGAAAATAACTTCGAGTCCAAAAAGTGTATAATCGAGTAGTGCCACGTTTTAAAAACCAGCTGTATTGGGATGTGGAAAATCGATTTCACAGTCGAAGGTATGTATAAATATTTTTTTTATATAGCCAATCAGCACATGACACGATTCGAAAACAGTACCTAATTGACATCCCGTAGTGAATTGGTGAATTCAAAGAGCTTATTAGAAAAAACTTCCACTAAATTCTGCTTTATTTCGAACAGTGGCATGTTTATTAGACAACCCATTTGATATCTCAGTTTTGGCTTCAGCTGACTGCAGCTTTGGCAATTACTATTCGTCATTGTTCGTCAGAGCGGTACGGTGGACCTTTGCTCTTAGTTAAAAGTCTCGTCGGTCTGTTAGTCTGTCAGGTCTGGCTACCCAGATATCAAACACGTTTAAGGGGAAAAGAGAAAGAAGGAAAGAAATGAAGCAAGAGATAGAGCAAAGAAAAGAAGTAAATCATTTGAAATATCTTAAGCATTATTGCTTTGACTACTCGATAATTTTGTAACTCCAAAAAATAATTTTGATCGGCTTTGTATACTGAAATAGTTTTGGCTGGTCTGAATTCACAATTTAATTTTGATCACAGTGCGAGGCGCGGCCTGGAATGTTTGCGAACTTGCTCGACTGTGTAGTCTACTGAATCACGCAACAGATGGTTGCTGAGCGTATCGGGTCTATTATAACGCCGCTGTGCCTGTTGTTTTACTTACTCCCTTAGATATGGGATATCAAAATCTCTGTGAACGGTCTCATTTGACACGTACCAAGGGGTGTTAGTGATTATGCGTAGGATGCTGTTTTGCAGGACTTGCAGTCTCTGCATGTGCGTCTTGGCAAGAAAATACCAAGCCGCGCATGCGTAGGTGATTGCGGGCCTTATAACCATTTTATACATATAAGCGAATCTCGTTGATCAAACTTAATTTTGAATTTCTACACAACAACGGATGCCGAAACGTAATTTGGAATTGGATTGTTCCCATGGTATACGAGTTCCATTCACTGATATCTCTGAGGGGACACCGCGACGTATTTTAGTACAATAGATTGCCTGCGTTTTCGAAGTATTAATTTTGACCAACCACCGATCCGCCCACTCCAATACTTCCTCCACCGCACTCTGCAGCCTGACGTGAACCAGGTTACCAGAACAAGACTGAGCTAGCAGTGCAGTGTTATCAACATAGAGATAGACTTCACAGTTGCTGGGCTAAGGAACGTCATGTATATAAAGTGAATAAAGGATTGGTCCTAAGACCAAACCCTGAGGAACACCGGCTCTTACGGGCCGTGTTGTTGACAACACATTGTAAATTTTGATCCGAAACTTCCTTCTAGAAAAGCTTTCAACTGTTTTAGAAGCCACAATGGAAAACCGTTTTGGATGAGCTTATCGAAGAGGTCCATGTGCCACACCTTGTCAAATGCCTTTGATACATATAAAAGCAAGATACCGGTACTTTTGTTCAGGGTGAACCTCCTGGTTACATGCTCCACTAGTCTAACTGCCTGTAGCTCTGTACTATGCTCAGACCGAAAGCCAAATTGCACGTCAGGAATCACATGGTGATCTGACGAGAAATTCTCAAGGTGACGATAAATCACCTTTTCAGCGAGCTTAGTAGGAGCTGACAGCAGGCTAATGGGACGGTTATCCTAGGGGAATATCCAACCTGCCTTCTTTGGGATCATGATGACTTCAGCGATCTTCCACGCCTTAGGAAAGTAATGAGTTCTGAGCATTGCATTGATTATTGCCACCAGATAAGTCAAAACCTTGAGCGAAAGCAACTTCAGTGCTGTGCTGGTGATTTGATCCTCTCCAGGTGCTTTACGCACCTTTAGGTCCTTTTGGGGCCTTGGAGCTCTGCTGGTGTGCAAAACGGAATCTCAGAGTATTCCGTTGATGTGCTATGCTGAGCGTCTTCCGTAGAAGAATCTTCTAAAAAGGAGTCACCGATGTTAGCACTGACGTTGTCGCCATTCGCTCTGAAATGTCTTCTGACAGATCTTACAATTTGTCGGTCCTCGTCAAGGTCATTGTCCAGATCATAATTGGGAGAGAACTGCCTTTCCATGACGTCATCGAAAACCTCCACCTTATCCTCAGTCCAGAAAACTATGCCTCCAGGACCATGAATATGTAGTTGTTCTTGCCTTCCGTTTCTGAGCGATTTTGCCACTTTCAAGAGAGGAATACTTGATTCAAGCATCCCCGCCAGAAAGTCGCTCTACTGCTCATTACGGAATTCATGGAGTGCATTTCTCACTTCATGGACGAGATTTGTCGCTCTACGAATGTCATTAGGATGACAAGAATCGGGCTATTTAGATTTTTTAAGAATCGATATTCAGTTTGCAAGAAGAAGTTTGATAAATGTTGTCTAAGACAGAGTTAGCAGGGCATTTAGGTTAGCAATTTCGGTCCCCACGTTCCCAAAATTACTAAACTAATTTCCGCGCCATGTAGAAAGAAAATACACAATTTTGTTGAAAAAGATGGTAGGTCTGGCCGTCTATTAGGAAGTGTTGGCGAGTTCAGCCATGTGCTGCTCCACACAGACTTTTTTCTCGTCAGTGCCCACTGACATGGCGTTAATAAAGTACCTGAGCAAACTTCAAGGACCAAAAGAGATGGATATTTGCGTGATTATGAGATAAGAACGAAAGTTTACAAAAAACGTAGGCTCAATCATAAGCCTAGGCGAACACTTTTTTTGGAAATTCATACTATGTATTAGCCCTTTAACTGCTGAACAATTATTGAAATATGCACTCAAAACTGATATATGTATTTCAATGATGCTAAAATAGTATGTGACAGTATCTTGAAATGGAAGCACAATCGGACCTATGTTTGCAACCGTTCTGTGTTTTCGCCAAGCAGTAAGCAGTACATTCATGTTAGCAAAAACATCTGTTTTTATAAAGAATAACCTATTAACGTGCTAAAAACTAGGCTGAACAATTTGTTTGGATTATATTCTAAGGATATCACATACCTTACCCGGCCAAACACCACTGAACCATACTAAGTCCGAGATGGCATTCTAAGGTAAATCATGTGATATCCCTGGGACCAATAAATTAGCGAATTGCTAGATTTTGATTGATGCTTAGGTCACACTGTGTATGAAACTCATTGAAAAATATGATGCATTTAATAACAGTATGCAAGTGCTGCTACCCATGAGTAAATAGTTGTGCCAAGCATGTGGTTATCTCTCTGATATTATTTATAAACAATTGATAAATATGCAAACTGAGTCAAAACACACACGCGCACAATAAATAAATATTTCATATTATAGCCAATAGAAAGCGCATACAGTCAATTATACTAAGTGACATATAAATCCGAACACCCAGTTTAAATGGTTTTATTTTAATAAAAGTTGGTGAATGTATTTATCTTACTGTAAATAACAAGTGAAAAAATTTTCAGTCTTATCAGTTGGACATTCAGGTTTTTGTACTGCTAACGCTCTAAAAATGAATATTTCAGCCGCAGTAAAGAATCAACGTTGGCGGATTTTGGTTCTTGACATCCTTTACGATCGGTTACGATGCCTAGAGTACGGAGACCTGTACGATTTCGTCAACTTAGTGAGTTTGATAGGGGCCGTATAGTGGGACTTCGGGAAGCTGGACTTTCTTTTCGGGCAATTGCAGTTAGAGTGCAAAGAAGTGTAGACACTGTGGTTAGGTGTTGTCAGGCATGGCTTCGAGAAGGCCGTACGCAAAGAGCAAGGGGCACTGGACGCCGCCGTAGAACAACAGACCGTGAAGATCGCCGCCTAAGATTATTGGCCTTAAGGGACCGTTTCTCCACTACCAGGTCCATTGCAAATGAATGGTTTGCAGAACACGGAAGACCTATTGGCATGCGAAGTGTTTAGGGTAGAGTGGGGTTAACTGAACAGGTAGGTTAACTGAACACATCGATGTTCCTGCCATCTAGTAATGATAAATTAAACTTGATTTTGCCTGAAAGCGTCTTTTGTTACGTGTGTTGACACTGTTCGGTGCAGATTTCTTTTAAGACGGTTCTAATCTCGTAAATCAGCAAACATATTTTTAATGGCCGCCACGTAAAATTTGTGCTCCCAAGTTTTTTTGTGTTACAGTTAGCAAAATAGAGTTTTAAAATTGGTGTGACGTATATTTTGTTCCAGTAAGTATTTTACCATTTATTTCTTGTTTACCTAAGCATAACATTATTTTTTAATCAAATTTTTCTTTTGCTTATGTATTGGTGCACAGTGGGTATAACTGGACATCTCATGTATGTGGTTATATGAACAGGTGTTCAGTTAACCTGCGTTATTTATTTATTATTATTTTGTCTACAAATTTATTTTATTTTTTAGAATATGCCAAGAAAAAGACTACGTACTACCAATAACAGATCATATAGTGTAGCAAATCTTAGACAAGCATGTGAAGAAGTCCTGACACATGGTCGAACAACTCGAAGTGTTGCACTTCAGTTTAAAATCTCAAGAATTACTTTAAAAAGGTATGTCGATAAATGTCGGGAAAAAAACAACTTGGATATAAATTTTCGCCCCAACAACGAACATCTTTTGGCTTTTAGTCCCGATGAAGAATTACTTCTTAAAAAATACTTAGAGCATGCATCTTACATTCACTATGGCTTGTCTTCTAAACAAGCTCGTATTCTAGCTTACGAGTTTGCGGTCGCCAATGGCAAAACCATAAAAGAAAGTTGGTTCCGAGAAGCAATGGCAGGCAAAGAGTGGATGTTTAGATTTATGAACAGGCATAACTTTTCGTTGAGGACGCCAGAACAAACAAGCTTAAGTAGGGCAACCA